TGGCTTATTATTTTGTATTAAAATACTTTAGTTTCCTGTGTTCTTGTATTTTTAAAATACTGTAAAATACTTTGTAAGAAATCTAAATCAATCTACATCATATATAAATGATGCACTGTGCATCAAATGAATTACTGACTCTTCCATTTAAAGAAGAATTGAAAAGAATCAATAATTTAAAATAATAGTAGTTTTGGATGGATTGCGGGTGCCAGATGTTTGTTGTTAAAACAAACAACATAAAAATAAGTCCTACAGTCGCGATTCCTACATTACTTCTTTGGCTGTTTCAAATGCCAATAGCTGATCAATAGGACCATTGTATAGTTAATGTAAAGGAAAGAGCTTTAAGATGTCACAACATATGAAAGACAAATATTTAATGATCAAAAACTCCAAGTTTTTCCATTGATATTGAAGAGATCAATAGCCAAAATAAATTACAAAAAACAAGATTTCTGAGAAATTCTGTAAACAAAAATTTTTATCAACTGTTTATTTAACACCCATTTAAAATTGTACAGTGATTATGCCAATTTTACTGGCCACATTCGCTATCAAACATTGTTTACTTCACTAAGTCAATTTAATGGGAAAGGAATTGATCAAATAGGTCTAATTGATGGAAGATTTGCAAAGAAATGTCATGCTCCTTGGTAAAAGTATTTTGTGGTAGTTTTAAAATTCAAAATAAAGTATTTTATTTTGACACATTTGTGGCTGCTGTATTTTATTTTTATTCACCTAAAATAAAGATATTTAGTATTTTATTTTAAAATAAATTTCAATGTATTTTTGCCCAACCCTTCTCACACTAGCAGTAGGAATAAACACGGTAGGTGGAACTATACAAAAGTTGTAAAGCTCTCAGCCAACCAGATTCGAGAACCAAAAAACACTTTTGTACACTTAAAAAATAACCTTTTCTGCTTGTTCAAACTACTTACTTAAAATGAGTTGATATTTATTTCAAATAAACAACACAATAATTAAGCTTTTCTGTGACAACTTAACTGTTTTATGTTCAATCAACTAAAATATATATACAAAAAACGATTAAGTTAACTTAATTCAGTGGTTCTTAAACTTTTTTCATCAAGTACCACCTCAGAAAAAATATTGTCTCTTCAAGTACCACCAAAATTAACAGTATTGAATTACAGTAGCGTAGTAGGCCCAGTAAAGCAGCTACAACTCTGCACAGTTAAAAAAACGTGGCAGTTTACCTCAGAAATATAGGCTATATGTCATATATAGCATATTATATACATCATTTTTGATAAATTTTGAAATATATGTAGCATGTACATGACATATGTCATTCCTCTGCGTACCACTAGAAGGAAGCCCGCGTACCACTAGTGGTACACGTACCACAGTTTGAGAACCACTGACTTAATTGATTTGTGTTGGGACAACATAAAGGAATTGTGTGGAACCCAGCATTTTTACACAGTAAAAACTGCTGGGTTCCACACAATTCCTTCATGCTGTTCCAACACTAATCGATTACAAATTAAAGAGCACTGAACATAAAACCATTAATTTGTCCCCCCCAAAAAAGAGTTTTGTTGATTTAGCTCATTCTACATAAGTTGTTTGAAAAAGCATTAAATATCATTTTTTGAGTGTGATATAAATTATAATAATTAATAATAATTATGGTTTTAAATGAAAAATAATTAGAGATGATGATGTTGAAAATTATTGTAACTGACAGCAAAAAGTGTTTGAAAGACTTGTATATTTATATGTATTTCATAAATTTCTCAGAAAACCAAGGATGATGTGCCCACCTGCCACTAAAACCATTTTTGTTAATTCATCAACACAAAGCTTTTGTTCCTAGTAGGAATTTTCAAACACCTTCTTCCTGGTTCTGTCATTTGTTAGCCACAGGGCTGTAGTGAAATACCTTTGTGAATGCATAGCAATTATGGCCAAGTAGCGGTCTTGTTGGAACTTGCTCTTCATAGTCTACCATATCTTATTTTACCAATCTGGCAACCACATGCAACCCCTCACATCAAGATCACCAAATACCTTGCAAGATTCACTGGCAGAAAACAAGACTTTTAGATGCCAAGAAATAAGCAGAGTGATTTCAGTGATTGCAGCCTACTGAAATAACATCTTTATCATTTGCAGAATGAGCAGGAGTGGGCCTCAAAGAACCGGCTGTTTCCTAAAGATAAGTAAAACTGAAAAAAAGAATAACCCAGCAGCTTAAAGATGTTTCCTACATGCAGCGAAGTCTATTATCCAGTGTTAGTATAGTTACTGAGAAAAGTCTACTATGGAAACATACGCAAGCCCATAGGAAAGGTGAAAATATAAAGACTACAAAGCTATCTTATACCTGCACTTCAGTGTGGAAAAAGCTTGATGTTTTCTATTCACATTATGCCATACAAACATGTAGTCCTTTTCTGGGAAAACAAAGTAACCAAAGGAAATCTGACAGACATCCTGCAGATTTTCTAACTGAATAGGCCCAGTGGGAGCATGACTAAAGAACCCAACAGACACGCAATGTTTTCACAGACAACAAAGGCAAATTTTGCAAAATCTCTCCTATATGGAAAACTGAATGCATGCATGCAGAATAAATGCATTGCATTGATTTTTATTTCAAATAAACTGCTTCTTAATTTCACAGAAAAAATTAAGGAGATCATGTTTTTAGTTATAATTTAATTTCACAAAAATTTGGAATGAGCACAGAGTATAACAAATTTGTTACATTTAAATAAAAGAATGTATGAGTTAACAGCATAAACATAACAGTGTAATCTGCATAACAAAGGTTAGAAGAAATATTGGTACTTTAGTCAAACACATCCTTTTCAAAATGTAGGCTAAACTACAATTATAAATTTACAGCAAACTTTATATTTGTACAATGCCCAATTTTTGGTTTCAGTCTACTTGAATTATGCAGTTACATACATTCTAATTTCTGTTGTATTATTTAATAGCCTGTGTAGTTAAATTTCGACTGCTAATGTTACAGACATGTATTCCTTCGTGTATTAACTGGGACAACTGTTGCCCACTTTCTTGTCACTTTCATACTAAGACATGCGGGAAAGTCAATGGAATATACAAAAGCACACAGACATGTAATCGTAGTTTTGTGCTCTTACCTCCTACAGCGCTCCACATATGGATCCGTGCGGCAGAACTGCACACCTCCGTGTCTCTCGGCGTCCTCTGGGTTAGCAAACGCCTAATACACAAATATCAAATACATATATCAGAACTCATTCTATTTCTGACCGAAGGTCTTTATTCATTCCAGAAGCTGTTGCAGTATGCAGACTAAGCGTGTTCCATCTAAAATAAACACGTGTTTTCGCTCGACGCAGCACAGAAATGTTTGGATTAAACGCGACTGTTTTGCAGTGATTCTGTGGCGTCGCCAGCGTTGTGTTTCGCGCAGTATTAAGAAACCCGTTTTCAAAGTATGAACAAATGGTTCCAAAGTAAGCCTACCTTTTTCCGAAGTCTCACTTGGCCCGTGATGATGGCAATAATGTACATCTTCAAGATTAAAAGCGTGCTGTAGAAGATGAAGCACAACTGTATGTCGCTCCCGAGCATCTTGAGCCTCTATCTCTCTGTGTAAACTTTGTAGCATAGTCGTGTTTGGAGGTTTTATATGGGAAGCCAGTCCGTTAAGCCCTCCCATTCCTCATTATACTTGGCACAAAAAAAAAAAACTTTCACTGATGTGCAAACTTGTTTTGTCCTCCCTCACTGCTAGCCTGCTGTCCTTTTATGAGAGAATGAGACACCATAAAACTGAAAACTGTATACGTTAATTTTCAGTTATTTTTTATTTATTTTTTTCAGTTATTTTAGTTTTCAAATATTTTAGTTTTTAGTTTTTTAATTTTTAGCCATCTAAAGGAATCAACCATTAAAATGGTTGCTGGACAATGGTGGCTGCATATTTCTAGTGTAAATTGTTTAAAGTAATTGTGGAAGAAAAAATATTGTACAACAGAACAAATCATTAGGTTTATTCCATGTTTCCGTTTGGGAAACCACATGAAAAACTGGACATTCATTTTATATTACACTTTTTAACCCAAAGGTTGGAGTTTGTCCATATTTAACTCAACATAAACCAAACAACCCAGCCATTCTTTGGAGTGGAAATATTTTTTAAACTTTAAAAAACTTTTTCCTGGTTCACCAACAGAGAATGCTCTGAAAACAAAAATTGTTAGTTCAATCACAACTAGTCTATGTGTAACAGAGAATATGAAACACTCTTAAGTGGTGCTGTAATTAAGTTAATTGCTCTCGACTGCATTCGCCTGCAGCTAAAGATTTTGATGAATGTGCTGTCCTGATTGACTCGGGTGGAGCTGGTGGACAGGGGGTGTCAATGCAATTTAGTTGACCACCCTAGCCCCCAGGTTTATTAATTGTCCTGCCTTTGGATAATTACTCTTTATGTTAGTTAGTTTTAACCGTTTCTGTTGAAACTGAAAATGCAAACACTTTCAGTGTTCAACTTGGATGAGTCAGTCGGGAACGGTGAACTTTAAATTGCTTGCATGTAATTACTAACAAAATATGGAAAAGCAGAGACAAAAATAAATACAAGCATTTATTTCACCTTTTCACTGCATTGATTCAGTAAGTTAAATTTTTCTCCGATATCTGTATATGTGAGGCCAGCAGGGGTGCTCACCCTGTGGTTTTTGTGTGTCCTAATGCCCCAGTATAGTGATGGGGACACTATACTATCTGCGAGCACTGTCATTCGAATGAGATGTTAAGCTGAGGTCCTGACTGTGGTAATTAAATATCCCATGGCACTTCTTGTAAAGCGTAGGAGTGTAACCCCAGTGTCCTATAGCTAGCTTCCCTCCAAAAGACATAATATGGTAAAATATAGTAAAATATGGTAAAAGTTAATATAGTAAAATATGGTAAAAGTTACAATCATGGTAAAATACATAGAAAGGAAAAGATAAAGGTAAAGATTTGTTTGTTAATTTTTTTATTATTTGTAGTTGTGGATTCATTTTAAGGAAACAAATAATTCAAAAAGTAAAGATTGCATTAAGATAAAACAGACAAAAGAAATGAGAAAAACACCAGTTTAAATTAATAAAAGACAAACAAAAATCAATATAATATAAAATCAATATAAAGTTTCTGCCCCTGATGATAACACAACATTTTCAAACACCCAAGACCAGAGGAAACGAGAAGGGTATAAACGGAGGTCGAAGCCAGCTCCAAGAAGGGGGTGGGACTTGAGCTCCATAAGGGTGGACTTTCAAGCTCCAAGTGAGCTGTACAAATCTGGAGTTTTTATTTATTTAATGTCTTGTACATGACGCAGATTCCAAAATTGTGCTTAATGAATCTCTACACATACCCTTACCCTTAATCCAACCTCACAGTAACCTGCTGTGTTACCGTGTGTAACCTTGATGTGTTTTATTAGCATCTACTCCACCTACACCCAACCTACTTGTGGTTTAAGTCCCTCCCACTTGAAGGTCACCCAACCCACTTGCGGTGTAATCCCTCCCACTTGGAGGTCTCCAGGCTGCAGCGATACCTACTTGGAGGAGCCTCTGGTTTAATTTAGTCATGGCTTAATAATTGTTCTGTATCATTGAGTGATGACTTGGGAGCCAAAGACAATGGAAAAAATTTGGCACAAGATTTGAGGAACCTACAAAAACCTAAAAGCACAACAAGGGTCAACAGTCAATTCCGAGATAGTCCGAAGAAGAGGATGAGGAGCTTGTGGTTGTGATGTCATCACAGCAATCCTCCGCATCAGAGAAAGAGGAAGTATAATGGAGACCTGACAGTCTGTGGTAGTCTTGTTGAGTGACCTCCGGCATATAGGACATGTCCATTGATGTCTGGCCTCTCTGTGAGCTAGACCAACACCACAAATCCATCAACTGCGTGCACATGGCACAACCCATGGCTTTACGTTATATCCAGAATGTTATCAAACAGAGAAAAAAAACTGCCTAAATGATGTCACCTTTTAACAGGTCTAAACAGGAGCACACCATCATAATTTACTCATTCAAGCCCCGGCTGTCACTAGGGAAACATCAGACACTCTGACATGACATATGATGGCAAATAATGAGAAAAGCCACAGGAAATGGAAAAGAGAGCGTGAGAAAGCAACTCTTTTTAAGTGTATCCTTCCTAGGAATGCTTTGTTCAAAGCCTTGCCTGGAGGTAGTCACAATTACAAGGTGGAGTACAACACAAATGCAAAAAAGGATGCATTGATACAAGAAAAGGCAGAGGTATTATGAGTCAAACCGTTGTAGCGTGTGCATTGCTGACCACAAAGAGACTGAGGACTACCTGAAAAGGTGACACATTTACCAGGTCAACAGTAAGCCTAGTGCAAATACCGGAACAGAAATCGAACTGTTAGTGTTACTTAGAAATATGATGAAAACTGAAATATGTTATCAGATAGCTGTGTTTATCTACAGAGAATGTAGCTCCACACCTCAGTTTTCACTTTACTTTGAACTCACATTATCTACAGATTGAATATCAGAAGCTAATGAAGTTCCTTCTTAGGCTTCGTTAAAGGTAAGTGAAGCTGATACTCCCGGGTGTGACTGTGATCATTGTTGCTTTTGTAGCCGAAGTCTCGGTGGTGTTATTGGCACTCTGGGGAAAGAAACACAACACAATCAGTAGCATCGTCTGAGAAAATCTCATTTCAATTAACTTTCAGAAGTAAGGTAGACTGCTGTTTACAAGATCCCTGAGTATAAGACTCATGCTGCTTTCATTTGCAATCAGAATATGAGTTTCCTAGTTGTAAATTGAACATGAACTGCCTTTAAAATTATATTTAACACAGTGAAATTTTGACACCATAATTGGATGCCTGGAAAACGAAGAAAACAAAGCAGTCATGACTTAAACCACCCTCACATGGAGGAAGAAAGGCGTCTTCTTAACAACGGTGATAATTAGCACTTACCATGATCAATTAAACACTGGGTTTCATTTAAACTGAAACCAGCATTTCAAAATACCAGCTCTGATGTGCAGTTAGATGATACCGTCTATTTACTGAAGTCAATTGTTATATGCTAAATTAGCTAAATATTAAATTGTAAAATATATATATTTCTTAAAGCTGTAAATTAAACAAATATGACAATACAGCGTTATTTTCCCATAAATTCTTTTAAATTATTAAAATTCAAAAATTGTAATTACCTTATCAAGTGATGTCATTAATAATTATATGTTTTGTTTTCATCATTATTTTTTTTAATTATTTGTAAAAATGTACAAGACATTTTTTTCAGTCTACATTTAAAGTGCTCCATTTTAAATACTCCTTGTTTTGTTCTGGAGGTTTATGTTCATCCAAGATAAAAAAAAAACACTTTAATAAACAATTGTAATATACATTTAGAATCACATTTAAATGTAAAAATCCCATACCATCATTCTTTTAAAATCACATACTCACAGACTGAAACAGTTAGTTTGATGATCTTATTGATCTGAATAGTCAGAACTGTCATGATGAAACATGAACTAGTTGATCAACCAGAACCTCCATCACTAACACGACATCAGTGCTATGTTTCTACTCTGTATACACAATAAGTATGTAGAAAAATGCACAAGCATTTCATAGATGCAAGCAAGCAATATATATATATATATATATATATATATATATAATACTGCAGAAGACCCGCATGAACCCAAAATACTCTTTGAAATCAGTCAAGTTTGGTGATGGAAAATCATGGTTTGGGTTTCATTCAATATGGGGGCGTGCAAAAGATCTAAAGACTGCATGGCAACATCAAGAGCCTGAGGTATCAAGACATTTGTGCTGCCTATTACATTACAAACCAAATGAGAAGGCAAGTTCTTCAGCAGGATAGCCTTCTCATACTTCAGCCTCCACATCAAAGTTCCTGAAAGCAAAGAAGATCAAGGTGCTCCAGGGTTGGCCAGCCCAGTCACCAGACATGAACATTATTGAGCATGTCTGGGGTAAGATGAATGAGGAGGCATTGAAGATGAACCCAAAGAATCTTGATGAACTCTGGGATTCCTGCAAGAACGCTCTCTTTGCCATTCCAGATGACTTTATTAATAAGTTATTTGAGTTATTGCAGAGATGTATGGATGCAATCATCCAAGCTCATGGGAGTCATCCACAATATTAATTCATTTTCCACTGCACCATGACTTTATATTCTATATTGGACATCATTTCTGTTAAGTAACAAAGTCAGACCTTACTATCCTAATCAAATCATTAAAAATCAAGGCATGATCATATTATATTTTGGCAAAATAAGCGTAATCTAGAGACCATTGGCTTTCATATATGCCACTTCTAATAACTTCTAATAATAAATGATCAACTAGAAGTCAAGTTATTATTTGTTGTTTCTAAAACTTATGGGCAACACTTCCAAGATTAGTGTACATAAGGCAGGAAATATTTAACAATGTTCTAGTGTTTTTGTAATATTTTAATAAAAAATGTTTTACCCAGTAATAACTGATACGGTCACTAACATCATCCTGTAACTAGTTTCTTCCTCATGCAATCTGTAATCTAGCAATGCAGGGGTACGGGTTTCATCAGTTCATTGCATTACAGCATTGGATGTTATATAAATCTGTTAATAGGAGTACATCTGAATAATTTTGCTTTGATCATTTCGAGCACTCAAGCTGTGACGACCAAAAGGGAAGCACAAGCTCTGCACTCGCTGAACTGTTAATAACAAGCTCCATTAAAAATTCAGCTCACAGCCATGAGGTTATTACCTCACGCCTGATGTGATGCTGCGCTGGTTGACAACACTGCTGTGAGCGCATGGTTAACGCCTCTCGCTACCGCCTTTGTGTCTGAAATTACTGAAGGAATCACTTTTATAGAGACATCATATTAGGTTTGCTGATTTACTACTTGGCAACCACAAAATTACCTCTAAATTATGTTGGTATGTAATTTTCACAGCAATTTTTTGTAAATTGGCAATTAAATGTAATTAAATACAGGGATGTTTTATTATTTAAAAAGCACATAATAATACAATTTAACATGAAACATTTAAAAATTTTAAAAAAGTTTATAGCAAACATTTTACAAGCACTATCTGAGCTGTTAAATCATCTGCATAAAAATATCTCTGAATTTATGAAGATTCTTTCATCTTAAATTAGGACTTTAAGCATAAATCTGCAAGTGATAATAATGCATGAAGAGCTTTTTACAAATTAGTTTATACATCTACTAAACAAATTAATGTATCAATTAAAATGTAAAATTATGATTTTAAGTATTTTTCTTTGAATTTATTTTTTATGTGTAAAAAAAAATGTGTTTGAGTAAAATGTATTTTTGTATGGAAAATTGCTCATTTAATATATGTATATATTTTTGTCATTTAACCCTCCTATTGTGTTCAGCTCGAAATTGACCACTCTCTTTAACTGCTGTTAAAGTGCTCAAAAAGCATTTTTCACCACCAAATATTTATTCAACATTCTTTAGCTGGAAACAATGTCTCAAAGTAGTTTAAGATAAATTTATAGAATTAGACATAAAACAACTGTAGTGAAAATACAAATAGGCACTGAAATGTATTACAATTGGCATAGGGAGGATTCGCATATAAGCATGGGAAAGACATGTGTACCCACAAAAGACATTGTTCAGTCTGAAATGTGTGTGAGTGAGTGAGTTGGAGTGGTGTGTATGGTGATGTTTTCTTGAATATAGTCTGGATACCCATTTATTTCCTATGCGGTCACTTTTGACTGGTAACACAAGTTGTAATACAGTTGATTAAAATCCTCAAAATTCAACAAAAAAAGGTGATAATCACTTTTATATAATCAAGTGCATAGTTCGGAGGATATCATAATGAGGGAATTTAATGTAAAACACATTATTTATGAGTGTTTTCAGTTGTAAATTGGTCAGATTTGACCATATCATGTCAGGAGGGTAAAGTGCGTGTTTATTTTCTTTTCTTTCTTAATTTTTCCTATTTATTTTTGCATAAAAATAGCATATTTGGTGGATCAACACATTTTTCTTTTACTCTTAAAAACATTTCCTGGCAAGAAAATTAACTTTAAATGGTTTCGTTTTTATTCGACTTTTAAATAAAATGCTATCAGAAATAAAACAAATATCAATATTTTAAAAGTAACGCTAATTTTTGGTAACACAATACAATACAGTTCAATAACCATAATTCAGAGGTGTTTCATTTAAACAAAGCAACTAATGTTTTTCAACCAAGCCATAAATCAATTCACATACACTCATTTACACGTATTTTGACGAACATTAACCTAATTAGGCTCTTCAGCGTTAAAAAAGCAGACAGATGCCTCTGTAGCTCAGCTAACTTGCTAATGTTTAGAGACAGCAGACCACGCCAGCAAGATGTTATTCTTTACATAATACACAAAGCATGTCCGTTTCCAAAAATGACCCTTAACATAACGAAAGCCAGATGGAGCATTTGCGCAAAAACAAGAGGAATGACGACTCACTTCGGGAAGAAAATGATGACAGTCGATTCTCCAGCAGGCGCTCGGATGGGTGGTCTTTCCTCCTCCTCTCCTCTTTTCTTCAGACACAGGGTTCTGCTTTTGACATCTAAATATTCAGCTTCCCAGTCAGACGATGTGCTTACGGGAAGCTGCTGGAGGAATGTTGCCGGGGCTGCGAGGACAAAGAGGGGCTGGAAACGAGATGAAGGGTGGGGGTTTTGAGGACACGTGGGGATGAAGCGCTGATGAAGATCAACAAGATGCATTAAGGTAACTGTGAGGACAAGATGCTCATGCTGAAAGCTGCATGGCCCGCGGCGAGATATAAAAATGGATGCTTGAAATTTTAAAGATGCCGTTTGTATTCCTAAGTGATGGATGCATTCAAGCAGCTCAACCACAACTTATATTTGTAACTTTCTTTATAAAACATGGAAGATAAAACATACACATAAAAAGTGTTATATGTTAATCAAAAATCACAAGCTATAAAATAAGCTACACTGAAATATAAAAAAATAGAAATGACAAGCATATCAAAATTAAAAATGGGAACGAAATAATTTCATTAATAGCTAAAAACGCAATAAACAGTATGTTACACAATTACTAATTCTAAAATTGAAAAGAAAACTGATATATAAATAGAAAATCTAAAAATTAAAAAAATTAAAAATTAAAATCACAAATGAAAACAGAATTGGTACAAGAAATGATAAAAAGAAAGAACAAATACAACAAAATAACAAAAAAAAAACTGAAAATCTTTGATATGAATCTAAAAATACATGGACAATTGATATGAACATAAAAATGTGCACTTCGCAAATTTTTAATATAAAAATGAAAACTAAAATGCCAATAACAGCTAAAAATACAAAAATCTTCAAAAATAAAAATCTAAAATAAATGCTGAAGTAAAATACTAAACTAAAAGCCAATTACAAATTATAAGAGTATATTATATAGAGTTTATTATAGTAGTTTCAGCTTAGTTGAGTATTTTGCAAATTAATATTTTGATCCATTTCTCAGTGAATATGGGTAATATATATTGGTGAATTTAAACAAAACAGATTTATTTAACAGATATATTTATTTAAATAAAATTTTAGTCACATAACATATTTAAAAATGGAAAAAGATAATACATTTAAATTCATGCAAAATATTGCAAAAACATTTCAACAAAATTGTATATATATATTTTTGTTTCTCTTGATTTTTGCTATTTTTGAAAATTTGTATTTAATATTTTGACCATTAAAATGAATTTGGGCTGCTCATTTTTGAACCAATATTGCAAGTTATTTTTTTAGATAAGCTCCAGATTTGCACAAAGATAATATTGTATAGCTTCCTATTAAAATATTAATTTAAATGAGAGATTTGAGGGGTATACTTATATATGCTGAGCACTGTGTAAATAGCACATGATTAACTATTGAGATATTGCCAATATAGTTCAATTAATTAATACAGTATAATCATACATGTTCTGGGAATAGACAAAATTCATTTTACAAGTCAAAATTAACTTCCTTTTATGTTAAAACGTTAGTAAAGCTAAGTAGATAAGTAAAGTAAAAATTGGAAAGTAGTCTTTCATGAAGATATTATGTAAATTTCCTATTATAAATATCAATTTGCTAATAACTAAATTAGGAAAAATTGAATATTTTTTTATACTTAGATTTTTCTATTATTGTTGTATCTTATGTAAGTTTTGAGATACCAAAAATACTTCAAGACTGACAAGACTGTGACTGTAAGGGACGCCATTGGCCGGGGGGATTCCTCTGAGCGACATGAGCACCCGAATAAACAAATAATAGTTACGAGTGAACACAAAAAGTTCAAAAATTCATCAAAATTATATATTGATATAATCATCTAAATGTTTTGTGACTGGAGTTATATAAAACGAAAGATAAATATATTAATATTATAAACCACCTCATATTCAAATTGGAGTCAGATATGAGTTCAGTTTGAAGTAAATCAACATTGTGCACTTGAAATATCGAACAGGCAGTGAACCTTCATACACCAGTAGACACCGTCATTGGACTAATTGGCTGGACCTTACACTTGCAAGATGATGCCCTATTCAAACAATTATTACATTGATGGGAAGCACGTTTATTCAGCTTTCAGATGTTATATACATCTTAATAAAAAGAGCCTTGGTCACCTAAAATAAGACCGGTTAAGAAACTACCCCTTGGAATTCTGAATTCACTTCCTTTTCATTGGTAACAAGTGTGGGCATGGGTTACGCAAAACGGATATGAGGTATATGTCTGGATCAAGCCAGTCACGAGAGAGTAATCCCCATCACAGACATCACTCACTGAAGAGGAAGACAATTCTAAACCACACGACCACAAAAAGAAAGAAAAAAAAGAATCAAACACTGTGGAGAAAGAACAGGCTTTATTTCTATTCATCAAATCAGACAGATATTAATATTGAAATCACTTCAGTTAAAAAGACATTTACCTCGGAAGATTAAGTTCCTGCAATAAAATATGTAACAGACCATGTTGTCCTATTCACAATTCTGACATTTTGCTTATGAGAAAAGAAGACATTCATAAATAAAATCGGTTACCTTTTATTATGTACAAAGAACATGTCAAAGTTCAACTATAGCACAACAGCTTTCTATAAGCATTCACATCCGAGACGCCTCATTGCACGTTCCCATAAAAGTACTTAGATGGTTTCATACGGGGCTGCAGTGCCGCCTTATTAAAACATTGTAACATATATAATCAACGCACATTAAGCATTTGAGTAATCGATTTTGATCAGCCAGTCTGAGGAAACTGCAAAAAATGTCACCATTTAATACTGAATAAGTCAAATATTTTCACTTACGCAACCCTGCATCACTCTGATGGGGAATCCACTTCCTTTGATTTCAAAACAGAGGATTTTAAAGTGCATTAACACGAAACACAATATTAATGACTGAATAAAGCACATCCTGAGCTTTTAATGTAACAATCGTATAATTGCGTAATCAATGGGCCTGTTCACACATACAGACCTTCCCGAAAAATCGGCGGGAATTCTCCGGAAAGGTCTGTATGCGAGAAGGGGGCTATCGTTACAGTTAAATTTCAGTAGTTTCACAGTAGATTTGTAATTCAGGAAGATTTCGAATTGAAGAAACTTTCACCTTCAGCATGAAAAGGCAATGTCACCTTATGACATCACATCCTGTTGCTGCTTAAAATGAATCACTTTATTGCCTGAACTCTTAATTTCAAAAGCCAAAGTGTTGAAACAGCCATCATCAAAGCTGTTGCTTCTCATAAATGATGCGGTGGCTTGCAAGAACATGAACGCTTGATTGTTTAGTAGTGACGGAAATTGTTTTCATGGATCATGGAGGTAGGAAGTGAGTTGGAACGTAAACAGAACTCACTTTGCTGTGAAATAGTGCTAACCGGTTTGAAGGGATAGTTTACCTAAAAATGAACAAGGGATTCAAATCCCTAAAGGAGTTTCTTTTTTTCTGTCTAAGACAAAAGAAGAAATTTCGAAGAATGTTTGAAACTGGTACCTATTGTCTTCCATAGTAGGAAAAAACTATGGATGTCAATGGTAATATTTTAAACTCTACAAAATCTTCCGCTGTGTCCAAAGAGAAAAAACTCAAACAGGTTTGAAATAAGCGGAGGCTCAATTTTTGGATGAACTATCCCTTCAAGCCTTCACCTTATTATGTTTCTTTCATTCATTTGCTAAAAACCTCAGTGTCAACATGCTTGATTTCTTCAAATTCAAAGTGTGAATTATGATGATGTAGAGCAAGGGAAGCTTCTCTGAACATGCAGATACTAAGTTCAAGCCTTGTTTTGCCTTGGCAGAATCAGCGAGGAGCTCTACATACATCTGAATGTTTACCTCTGCACTACTAAGAAAGGCTGACGTAACGTTACTGCCTTTCGTCCCACTGACAACAGAAACAAGCAGTTCACCAGAGCACAGGAATGAAGCTTGTTCATGAGCGGTAAATATGCTTTATGTGCGTGCCTGATAATAGATTTACTCACTTAATAAATAAGACCCTTTCCTACACTAGGAGGACTCTGTCAGTCACAGACAGCACATCCACAGAAATGCTCACAAAGTGCTTGTGACACAGAAATGTAAGCGCAGTGCATGACGGTCATCCATCCGCATGTGAGTATTCATTACCTGCAGAAAACAAACACAAAAGGTCAAATGAATTTTGCAATTTTTTTCTTTAATTAAGGAAAAATTAATTAAAGTGTTTTAAAAGGGGAAAAAGTTGATAATTACTGTATGTTTTTTTTCGCAGTTCTGTCTGGTTCTCGAATCTGATTAGCTGACAGCCTTGAGATATTAAAGTAATATCAACACCCTTACAGCCTCTTCACCCTTGTGTATTACTCCGCCCACATACAGCGACAGGCAGAGGATACTCTACAGTTTGACAAATATTGCAGCTGTTGGACAACATAATGTACTTTTGAGTCTTTATTAGTCTAGAACGTAGTGGTTTAGATTGCAACTATGCAGTTTATTTATAAGGATAGGGTCTATTTTAAAATATTTACAATTTCGGAGATTCAGTGCATCGGCTGCCATGTATAAGCAGAACAAAGAAAGTGGTGTTCCGCCACAAGATGGTGAAAGACTTCATAATAAGTCCTTAGAGGGAGAAAAACTCAGCGTTTACTCAAAGTTTCATCTGAACAAATCATTATAAATCAGGTAAGTGACATTCTAAGTCACTCTCTCTCGCTTTTGAATTTTGTAGTGCTGCATTTATACCACAGCAACTTGTAGTGTTTGCTTTGCTTTGGCTCTTTCTGGGTTAGTTATTGTGATATGCCAATTGCAACAGAGAAAAACTGGGAAATCTCTGTAGACTGATAGCATTTCATGCCGTTCAGCCTTGTCATTTTTAAAATGTCAGCAAAATCACCTGTTTTGTCAGGTTAGACATTAACCCCCGTTTATTTTTTTCCCCAATTTCTGTTTAACGGAGAGAAGATTTTTCAACACATTTCAACACATTTCTAGACATAATAGTTTTACTAACACATTTCTAATAACTGATTTATTTTATCTTTGCCATGATGACAGTCAATAATATTTTACTAGATATTTTTCAAGACACTTCTATACAGCTTAAAGTGACATTTAAAGGCTTAACTAGGTTAATTAAGTTAACTAGGCAGGGTAGGGTAATTAGGCAAGTTATTGTATAACAATAGTTTGTTCTGTAGACTATCAGAAAAAAATATATAGCTTAGCTGAAATTAAACAAATAAGACTTTTTCCAGTAGAAAAATATTATCAGACATACTGTGAAAAATTCCTTGCTTTGTTAAACATAATTTGAAAAACATTTAAAAAAGAAAAAAATCCAAAGGGGGTTAAAAAATATCAATTTAAATATAAAATGAAAGAGCAAAATGATATGAAAAGATCGCTAATGATATGGAATTATAATTAACAAAATGTTATGAAGAAAGAGTAAAATTATATATGTACTTTATATTTTATAAACACTACAATAAAAACACTATTATAGTTATTTAAGTCCTAAACATGAAGTGAAACTGAAATGGCAAAGACTTAAAATTAAATTAAAAAGCAAATTAAAAGGTTTAGCATGCTACCCAAGTATCTTTGGAAAATAAGTCACAGCATGTTTTAGACGGCAAAACTATAATATTACTTTAAAAAAAATAAAAAATAAAAAATAGCAAAGCTTCCCTCATTGAAGATCCACCATAACACAGACACAATAGTATTGCATAAAATATGTAATTAATCGGCCTGTCTGGACCATACCAGTCTGTACCATACGGTGACGAAACATGTCTGGTATTAATGATGCTACAGCTTTACTCAGAACTAAATAAACTTCTTTTTTTCAGATCAGAGGCTGTATAAAGGGTTTCCTCAAGTTCACACAAGTGTTATATGCGTCATCACTTTTACTGTGTTACATAACCTTTGGGGAAGGAGAAGTACTGAAAAAGTAAAAAGTTTTTGAAAATCTTTTTTGTGCGATTTATTTTATTTTGCTTTAAAATTAAAAATTTTATTTTAAAATTTGATTTTAGAATTTAAAAAATGTTTTTTTTTTATTATTATTCTTTACCAATAATTCAAATAATTATAAAATGTTAAATTAATGCTTAAGAAAGTATTGCTTTTGTTGAAAGAAGCAGTACGGCATGATATCTTTTGAAACCCTAAAAACCTTTCTTTTTTCAGAAATAGAATGTTATTTTGAATAGAAATAGTTTGTAACAATATTAATGCCTTCACTGTCACTTTAAATTTAGATTTTGAATAGTAGCACTCAATATTAAGCATGGCTTGGTGGTTCAAATAATTGTTTAAGGTAGGGCTGTGCGATTAATTGAAATCGTATTGAAATTGCTATTTGATCATATGCGATTTCTAAATCGCCATACAGCACAATTTCCCCACTGTATACTATTTAAACCAATCATAACGCAGCACACCTAAATAGAGCACAAGAACAGGAGACTGACAAATAGCCTGCATAAACAGGGATGAGTTCAGCAGAGGAGGACTTGTTGCCCAAAAAAAGTCAAGATCTACGGTCTGGGAATACTTTGGATAGAGGAAGGCTTATGTATTGCCGAATCATTTCACTTGTTAGAGCTGTCAGTAACATGCTTTGTGCTTGTGCTCCTTTGTCGTTGTTCGGTGCCCATCAACTGTTGTCCCAGAAGATGACAAACTAACAAAACATTGCTGCAGTTCTGATACAAGTTTTATTTATGGAGAGAATTAAAAGCACTGCAGTGTTTGGGTGTGCTGTGATTGTCTGAAGTAATTAGACAAACAGAATGTGTATATTATATATAAAGTTCAAAGTTGATCGCTCAGTTTTTGTTACGTGACTCATGGTGCGCTAGCAGCATTCTGAAAGTATTCATGTTTTCAACTGGGTGCACATGGAATACATGTGTGCTTCATGTGCATGCCACGTGCCTTCATTGGAAGTAACGAACTTGTACGCGCAAAAGACGCGATATGTGAAAAACTATTTTATGACAGCCACACAAAGAGTTCTATGATCTATGCCTCTGTGGACACGTACAAAAGTACACACAACTACTTCTGACATGTGGTCAAACAGAACATTAGAGCCTACTTGTGTTGGACGGCACACACGCACACTCGATAGTCTGATTTGCATTCCTTTGGAAATATGTTTCAGATTCACACTGTAAAACATCTGTTTGTGTCAAAATCGTAAATCGAAATCGCAGAATTGTTCAAGAAAATCGTGGTAGGTTTCTTTTGCCCATATCGCACAGCCCTAGTTTAGGATCGCTGTATGTGTTTACGATTCTTACCTTTCAGAGGGCTCTGGTCTCTGCCTCTATTTTCCTCTCCCCGTGTGTGTCAGTGTCTGGGGGGCTGATGGTTTGCCGCACTGCAATCTCTGGCCCACCGCCATAAATACTTAACAAGTACTGCCACGTTTCTTCAGATATCTGCCCATAGTCTGCTCCTGAAAACCCATCCACAGATAATGAATAACACTCAAGTGAGTCAGAGAAAGTTTTGACAAATGATTAGTCACAGACATGTCAATTAGCAGAGAGGCACACGCACACATACAGTCCTGACCTTGTTTAAGCTGGATATGACCGCCTTTCATTACTGCAATCTTGCTGTTGTCAATGGGGCCTGGTGGCTCTAAACCAGCAGTATATGAAAGAAAGAGAGAGAGATACAGTGAGAGAGAGAGAGAGAGAGAGAGAGAGAGAGAGAGAGAGAGAGAGAGAGAGCAATAAGGGAGAGATGCAGGGAAGAAAAAAATTATGACCTTTAAAGTGAATAAGCAAACACTCCCTTGAAAATACAGAGGGTGGTCTTGGCAAAGCTGACAGAAATCCCGCAATTGGTTGAGTCAATGCTGCCGTGTCAGATTGGTCAAGATTCTCAAACAAACAGAGAGTGGTGTTTGAATGCGTTTCAGAGCCACAGAGTTTGTAATCTTTGGAAAGTACTGCAAAATTAGACATAATTGATATGCATCATCTAAAGTAACATGGACTTTATGTATGTATATACAACTTAAATTCCCCTGTTATGGTGTTTTTATGCTTTGTAATGTAGATGTTTGTGAACATAAAAGGTTTGTGATCTTCCATATAGATCAAAGTATGTCAGAAACGGAATTCTCTTCTCCTGAAGGAAAGAACTGATTCTGAACAGACTGAAATAAGTCATCAGTAATTCCAGTCTTTCCTTCAGCACAAACCTACATACATTTGTAACCAGTCATTATGAAGTCAGCCTATGGCTCTCATTCGCTCTCCATGGACATTTTCTAATTTGATCCTCAAACTCTGTACTTATAAATGAGGCCTGGTAGAGTTTGTTTTGTTGACGTTTTGAGAAAGGGCTGTTTTCAAAGGCACATCTGAAGGAAAAAGACGTTCTCTCAAGCTAATACAGTTAAAAAAAAAGATATTTAAAAAACTGTACTAGGATATTGTTATGGTTTATTTTTAAATGTATTTTATTACTTTTTAATAATGTACTTTTTTTTTCCAATTTAAACTAGGGATGCTCATAATAACTGATTTACCATTATCCGAAAAGGTGCGTTTTTAACCAATTACTGGTATCAGCTAAGCGATTAAAAATATTTTTTTTTTTTATTTTTTTTTTTTATTGGCTGTATAAATGTGAAACACATATTTGTTAACTGGCGGTACTGTAACACGTGCAACCACAAGTGCCTACAGACATTTTATTTTGCCAATGAAGCAAAATGAAAGAAGAATATTGCTGGTCACAGTTTGACACAGACGAGTTGATGCCAAATCCGTGCTGATGCTGATTGCCTCTGTCCTGGATCCGCCTCATAAACATCTATGTTCATTTACACAATTGGAGCAAAAAGCCGCAAAACAAAACTTTATGAAATGTACGCTGCTTTGGAAACAAGCTGTCCACAAGTTGGAGCATCTAGATTTTCTCTCCATAAGAGCGCGCTCCAGCCTGCTCATAAACAAAGCAAATAGGCTATAGTTGTGAGGATTTAGTGTACAACCAACAAACAAACCTTTTTTCCTCTTGGAAAATTGCAGTTTTTAACATTGCTTATAAAATATCATTTTTTATATTACATAATCTATAGCTTACATAATCTATGAATCAAACAAATCCGAATATTTTCTTGATTTGTGCATAATGATAACTCCGCACAAAATTGAGGCTTTCATTTTATAGCTTATAAAATATGTATGCAATTAATGTAATAACATAAGTAAACAACAAAATTGCTATATGCTATAGTAGCCTATACTTTACTAAAAGTCCACATTTGAGCCTTGTCATTGTCTGTCTTCACATGCAGCGAGTGAGAGGAAAAAAATAGACGCTCAAGACATAATCTTTAAAGTAATGACTTCTATTTAAAAAGTTGACAGAGGTTTGTGATATAATTATAACAGGGGAGCATTATTTAAATGCATATTTTCCGTTGAGTGATCGATTTGAGGTTGCCTGCTATTTGTATTTGATGGAAGAAAAAAAACATAATGGGAAAGAAATAACCTATGCTGGTTCTTAAAAAGGATTTAGTCAGTGTTTTCGTTTTGTAATCTTAATTTGTAATTTATGTGAAAAATATCTAGGGCAGGCCTAATTTTTTTATTTTATTTGGTTTGTTTTTTTCTGCTGTTGGAAACACTGCAGGTGTGTGAAGATGTTCTGTTGTTAATATGTCCTGTGGTTAATATGTTTGCACGTTAAAATAAATCAGTATTTTAAAATGCAATATTTAATGTGTCAGACACAAAATAGACACGTCAATTATTATTATTTATTTTTTTTGTTAAATAATAATTTAATATTAATCTGACCAGTTAACGGTTAATATTCGGTTAAAGAGCAGCGGTTGTCGGTTGGAAAAAAGAACAGAAATGAGCCTCTCTTATATAAACCTATTTTAGGAGTCTAAAACACAAATAGGACCCTTTAAAACAGTATAATAGTGGCACTATAAATCTAAATTGTATCCTATACTCACATTCACTCCATTTAACTTCAAAACAGCAAAAAATACATTTTTAAAAATTAAACTTTTTTATCCATATAATAAATACCAATAGAGACCAAAACCAAATAAATAAGAATTAGTAAAGGATGACAGGATTATAACATATAACTAAACTATGCCTTTAAATGCAGCATGAAACTCTCTTTTTCTTGTGTATTATAAATGCATCCATCATGCAAACGAATTAAAGTAAGGTTTAATTTAGTAATTCAGGAATAGACTGGGTTGTTGTCATTTGCTACTTGCTGTGATGGACTCATGAGAGAAAAGTTAGAAGAGAGCACTGAAATTCAATCAGTCATTGGAGAACCATATTTCTCACCCATCATACTGGTTTACATGTTGTCAGAAAAAGTTGTGGCATTGTAAGGAGTAAGACATGATAATGTTTTTGATTACAGATAATGATTACATACTGACATTTGTTCATATATTAAACTATAATACTACAAACTATCACACTATAAATGTTTATAGTATGATAAACTGTCATACTATAAATATACTATAAAGTCCAAATGATTTAACAATATAAACAAACATTTAAAATCCTCCCTCAGAACAGTGAACTAAACACCAAAGACCTGGCTTTCTTAATTTTGCTGCATATTATCTCGAATAACATAAATGAGTAGCAATCCATGTTTGTTAACATGCATGTTACTACAGTATACGAGTTTGCATGAGTGTGTACCATTGTCTTTGCCCTTGACAAAGTTCTCCCATTCTCTGAACCACTGCATGCTTATACAAAGGATGACGGTAGGAGCTTCTTCAGCCTGAAACTCCTTATTTAACTATAGATGGAGAGAGAAAACAGAAAGAGGGAGATAATCATTATCAACTTTAAACTCCTTTAAACACTCTGAGCATTAGTACTTTACTGTGTTATATTTACTACAGTTAAATGCTGTATTTCATGTTTATATGTCGCTTTCAAACATGTTGAACTACAAACAGGATCTTCACATATCTTCAGAGCTTTACACCGTGTGTTTTTAATGTTAGTGATGCACCTATCAGATACTGCACCCTGATAAGATTCCAGTGCAGATCACACTCCTGATCAGTAAAGTATGCAGTCTGTGTTTCATCAGTTCTCTGGCTTTACAAGCAGCAGACACTTCCAAGAACATTATGCTCCTGCCAAGTGAGGTTTCCAGTTGGTTATTTAAAAATGCTGTGGATCTGAGTAAATAACTTAGAAGTGCTGTTCATTTTGTTCAACTGATTATATGGTGAAAAATATGTATCGATATATTTTTTTCACGGTTAAATCATTATTATTAAATGGGAATTTAATATTGTTGACAAAAAAGACAAGGCTAAAATGAATGTTTCTTAAAATAAACGTTCCTTTGTTTTGTCAAAGAGAGAAGACTAAATGCTGATGCCAGATGCATTGGGTTTAAATCCCCTCAAATTAGCTTTTTTCATCAAAGGATAGGGTGTTTAACTTAAAGGATTAGTTCATTCAAAAATATAAATTCTATCATTAGTTGCACCCTACTTTTATGGTAATTACCGGAGACGAATGAAGATATTTTAGATGAAAGCCTTGACCTCTCTAACCTTCCATAGACAGCAGATGGAAGAATAGATGTTAAGAATAGGAACCAAAAACATTTTCAAAACATTCTTTTTGACTTTAATGGTTAGACTGTAATCATATGAAGCTCCAAGAACACTTTATTTATTTCAAATACCAAATAAAAATGTTAAAACAACTTTGTTCGCCTGTATCTTCTCTCCTGCATCAGGTCAGGGCACTTACTACAGGCATTACTAAGGCTATTGTCAGCAGTGTGACATTCAAGCATCATATTGCAATGAATGTGCACCCTGACCTGACATGTAAGAGAAAATATAGGTGAACAAAGTTGTATTTACAGTATTTTTTGGTGTACAGAACTGTTCTTGGAGCTTTGTATGATTACAGTTTAACCCTTGACGTCGCATAGACTGCTTTCCCTATGTTTTGGGTTCCTTTTCTGAACATCTCAAAACCATTGCTATATATGAAGGATGAGGCTCTCGGATTTCATATAAAATGTCTTAATTTGTGTTCTGAAATTGAACAAAGGACTATAGAACAACGTGAGGGTGAGAATTAAAAGGGTAAGCTTATCCTTTAATCTCTGCAATATGGCAGCTAGTAGAATATGGCTTGTAGTGTGAGTGTAAAGTGCGCCCGAGCCCGAAACTGAAGACGAGACATGAGATGTGTTTATTAATCATTCTTACTCTTCAATGAATGCAAACTGTCGGAGTTTATTAAAGACGCAAACCCCTCACTGCACCACAGCTGCACTTTCAGCAAACCTCCTAATTCCTGCAGCACGAGGACTTCATGATTATTTATGAGCGTCAAAAGTGGCGGATCTGTTCGGCAAAATATTTGACTGTGTTTCACTGCATCCCAAACAACTAAAACAATATAACTTAAGAAATCTCCACTGTGCTGAGCAAGAGCACTTCTGAACAGCGCATCATCGATGATGCAAGCGTGCCCAGGCCCGAATTTAATGTGAGTGCGGGCCGTCAGGGGAGACGGGAGGAGGGACAAACGTGCTTCGGCCCGATTAAAGGCAACTGTAGATAGTGTGCGTATGCCCTAATAGAAAATGGATATTGACTGTACTGTTTTTGAAAAAATTGGCATTCTCTTAATTTTTGCTCAAAGGTGAAAGCGTTATAATTGGCTGAAATTATAAATAAAACAAGTTGAAATAACAATTGTCACAATCATTATTTTGAGTAAAGCAATTCTATTATGTAGAACTAAAAAAAGTGACTAGTTTTTGTTTACTAACAACTAATTTGAGATATCGTTGAATAAAACTTGATCAAACAAAAACAGGAAAAAGGTTCAATAAATATGATTAATACTAAAAGTAAATTTTATGCAGGACTAAATGCTGGTTTATATACGATGTGTCCGCAAATTCGATTGGGTGCACATGGCATCGATTGGGTGCAATGTGACACCATCACAGTGTTGGCTGAAGTTGACTTTGAGTGCGCACAACATCATTTTGGCACTTGGTATGTGCAACATTTTTCGTAACTTCGCACACGGCTCCACATTCAAAGATGAACCACTTATAGCTGAGTCTGGCCAACTTGTGTGAATATGCGAATATTTAGAAATCCAAAACAACTTCTTTTGAAGCTTTAAAGAGAAACAATGCATGTATTTTGTGCACAGGTTGCCCAAGATTTTTTAAGTAAATTATTTTTATATTTATTGTGCAAAGGTTTTGCATTAATTAAGCAGTTAGCTTGGATGTATAAAATGCAGCACAAGTTACTAATTTACTAATAATTTTATTTAAGTTACTGAAAACAATTTCATTTTATATACAATTAATTCATTTAACAACTCCAATCCCTGACTATTTTTTCGCCACTGTCGTCAGGGCAGTTATTCCAAGTCCCTCCCCTGTTGTTATTAAAAAATAGTACAATGGCAATAGCATCAAGCATGAAAGCCTCGAGGCAAAACTCACGGCAGTCAATGGAAGGTCTCGCTGCAGACCCAGGCAAAAGTATAAATCATCCTTTAGGCCAAGACAGCAGTTAAACCCATGTAGTGTGTTCTCACAATATAATTTTGATGCTCAAAAACAAGGCGACATGTTAAAGTCTGAGGCATTTGGCTGTTCATGAATGCCACTTCCTATTTTAAACATCACACTCACAGACAGGAGTTCTGTAATTCTGTAATGGTCATTTGTTCACCTTAATGAAGGTGTCTATCTCCAGTTTCCGTCGTTTGGCTAAGGTCTCGATCTCCACTTGGCAAATTGCACACACATATAAGTGATTCACAGCCGGGCCACCTCCAAACCTGTGAAAAATATTTCAAAACATGAGGAATTACACAAGTATGGCCAGTGAAAAGAGCAAACACATAACTCAACATTGTTTATATTGCACGGCAAGAGGAGTTCCTCGCACATGACATCAGGCAGAAAACCATTCACATTTTTTTTAGTTCAGCATTGGTTTTGTTGACTTGACAAGATCAAATGTTTAAGTATCATCCCATGTTCTAGAAGGTAATAAATGTTGAGGACGTCCAAAAGGTCAATTTTGTGCATTGCTATGTATGACTCACCTGTTGTAGAGATATTCCCACACATTTTGAGGAAGGATCACAACCAGATCATCCACATAATGGTACTTCGTAGGAGGAATTCCTGTAGAAATTAATATATCATTTTAGTTTCCACTGCTACAGCAAGTGAAAAAAAATAATAATAATAATATATATGCATACATATATGTGCAAACTATGAACAAACTGTTTCAGCTCTATTTAAACCATCTAGGCTCAAAGTTTAAATCGCATGGTGCAAAAGTATTAAGTCCAAATCCACCTTTGCTATTTTAAGAACGAAAAAAGGGGTATGCGCCACGGTGCATAGGCTAACAGGTTTATGCTTATTCTCTTAATGAGTTATGGGTGTGTTTTGAGCACAACGTGCATTAAACCAATCAGAGTCTAGCCCTCCCCTTCAGTTGTGTCACACCATGGCCCACTTGCTATTTACATGGCAGACTTTGTAAGTGGAAAAACTGAACACCTCCTTGATTCACCCTCTTTACTTTAATTCTACTCTTTACTTTACTCCTTTACTTTCGTGGATAACAAAAGGGTGTTGTAAGGACTCCACTGAAGACATACATTAGCCTACATATTTAAATTTCATTTGTTAAGAGCCAGGATTTGTTTTAAAACTATTTCTAAAATCAGTTCTAATTTCTACAAATGAATAAAAGAAATGAATAAAAGGATAGTAAGTGTGGTCAAAAAACAAATCTGAGCTTGTTTTTATTAAAAGAAATTTAAACATGCATATAATCAATAATACTTATACTAATAATAACATTATACAAAAGCAAATTGTCCTGAATAAACTGAAAAAGCCCCCTGAGATGAAGAAGGCATTGAGGCAGTGGTTTTTATATTGATGTAGAAAATAATAATTTTTGTAGCAATTTTAATCCTTTAATTCTTTTTCATTTGCTAAGATATTTGCATATTGCTGTACATTCTGTGTGTATTAAGCAATGTGTAGGCAACGTGCTTAAGGTGCTCTGCGCTGGACTTTAGAGCAGCTTTCAGTTGGCACAGTCTATTTTAGTTCCTCAAAAAAGCAACGTGCAAACAATGCACCTTAACACACCTCCTTTCTAGACAAGTACACATACAAGTCCACAAAGTGGCGCAAATTAATTTACTAAATTAAAATAGCAGCAAATTGCGCCAAACAGGTCTTGCACCTTATTGTGCCTGGTGTGATAGGGCCCTTTGTCATAACTTCCACATCACAACATTTCATGTGACTTCAGTGGTTTAACTGTAATCATATGAAGCACAAGGAACCCTTTTGAATGCCAAAAAATCTGTAAAAATCGCTTTGTTTGCCTGTCTGTGAGTGCGTGTTTAATTTGGGAAATATGTTAATATGCAAATATGCCACAGCCATATCACCCTGCAGCCCAAGACCATTTACTCACTGAAGCTAAGCAGGGCTGAGCCTGGTCAGTACCTGGATGGGAGACCACATGGGAAAACTAGGTTGCTGTTGGAAGTGGTGTTAGTGAGGCCAACCTTTGAGTCCTAATGCCTCAGTAAAAGTGAAGGGGACACTATACTGTCAGTGGGCGCTGTCTTTCAGATAAGATGATAAACCGAGGTCCTGATTCTCTGTGGTCATTAAAATCCCATGGCACTTCTTGTAAAGAGTAAGGGTGTAACCTTGGTGTCCTGGCCAAATACCCTCTTGGCCCTTAATCATTATGGCCTCACAATCATCCCCATCCACAGTTGTATTGTGGATGCTGCACACTGGTGGTGGTGTTGTGGAAAGACTCCCCTCCTGATTGTGAAGTGCTTTGGGTGTATGGCCATACACGATACATGCGCTATATAAATACACATCACATTACATTTTTAAAGGCAAATACACTATTAAAGTGGGTAAAGTGAGATAAAAACATCTGATTTGTTAGTTTCAAATAATAATTTGTTAGTTATAATTTGTGAAGTTGTCTCTCATACAACAATTATAAGTTAATAATTAGATTAAGTGGCTTAATGCAATTAATAGTTTGCATCTGAGTCATCACATGAAGCTCTAGAGAAGCAAAAAACCTTCAGAAATCCTAGATAAATTGGCACATTTTCAAACTGAAGAACATCTTGAGAAGATGTGCACATAATGACGGTCAAGTCTTTACATGTAAATAAAATCAACATTTTTAGAATTACACTCTACATCTACATGTCAAGCAACTAAAAAGGTTCAGACAGGGCTGTGCATAATGTATTGACTACAGTAATCTTATAACTGCTGTTTTGATAAAGTACAAGCTGACATTGTTGAGTATGCCACTAGCTTTGAAAAAAACATGCCTTGAGGATGAAATCCGTATATGTTTTAAAGCTTATTAGAAAGCAGTTAAAATGGCAACAAAAATAGTCAAAAAAAAAAAAAAAAAAAAAGAAAGAAGAAAAAAAAATTGTTGCTTATTTTTAAGCAAAATACTTATAAAATCTGCTTACTACAGTTACTAGCTCCATTTTTTAAGAATATTGTTTTAGATGAGCTTGAGGCATGAGCGTATTAGAGAGTACCTCCGTGCTGACAAAGGAAAGTGTGATTGGTGATGGGTCCGGGCTCAGTGAATGTGTTGAATTTGTTGAGCCACTCTCTGGAGATGTAGAACTGCAGCAAACTGGGCTCCTTCAAATTAGCCAGAGCGACAACCCTTTGTCTTTCTCTCACAGATTCTTCACTGCTCTTCCTGAATGACAAATTAATATTTCAAGTATTTATTGCTGCAATCAGTATGTGTCTATCAATGTTTATATGCTGCTTATATGAGACAGCGAGTTTTAATTGCTAGTACCAGAAAAATGCAAACATCTCCCATATTGAGATAGATAATATCTCATTTAATAGAGAACAGAGACATTTCCTTTTATTTCCCCAATTAAATAAAAACTGTATTGTTTACCTTTTAAAACGACTGAAACTAAATTATTTTGTTATTTGTATAGAAAATAATTATAATTATAAAAATTAGCAATCTTATGCGTTTCCCCAATTTGTTCTACATGTTATTATACAAATAATGCAGGTACAGTTGTGTGTGTCATTTCTGAAGACATCAGCTTGTGGCAGGTGTAGCAAAAATTCAGATTTTAGTTTTTAGATTAAAGTCAGGTCTTTTCTTTCATATTGAATGATTACTTGAAAAACAAATATGCTTATTTGGTGTTATCTATCAAATGTTAAAGGAATAGAAAAAGATCTGAATACAAAATTGTGACTAAATTGATGACGTCATTCACCAAAACGATGTGTATAAAAAAAGTTGCTTACACTAAGATCAATTAGATGCATTTAAAGAAAAGAATTAATTCATGCCTAAAACTACTTTCAGTTTTCACAACATTACATTAAAATCAGTAAAAAACAAGTGTACCTGTAGAATAGGACATATGCTTCAGCATTCTGGACTACTGTCTCGTGCACTTCTGTTACATACTGATCGTCAAACTCGTACCACTGTCCATTGATCACATTCTGGCAGTACGCTATGTAATGCCCACCTGCCCAACAGAAATCGATGAATGAATGTCAGTCCATGTTCTTCAAAGTTCCTATTATACTTTGTAATATTTTGAAGAAATAACTTACTTCCAGCAGTGCCGTGATGACAGATGACAGACAGCAGGTCATAGGTAGTAATCTGGGACGGGCTTTCCTTAGCCAGGAACGGTTTGAGATCCAAACCCTCCAATGGGAATGACACGTGGCTATTTATTTTGAACGAGTACATGACTTCATGTCTGAAGCGCTTCAGGTGAATGCACAATATCTGCAAAAGAGATCACACTCACTAACAATGTAAATTGCAATATTAAGAGCAGAACATAACAAAGCAGGATACTTACTTCTGGTAGACGCAGAACTTTACAATATTTCACACCATTTCTTAATCTGAAAAACAGAGCAAGTCATTCATCATCATATACACATGTTAACCCAACAGCTACAGTACAGTTTTGTCTATAAATTCATTAAACTATAGTAAATATCCAACATCCACTATATTTTCACAAATTGATCTAAAAAAAAAAAAAAACTCTTACTTTTTACACCGTTCACAGCTATACATGTTGTCTCCTGTTTGGAAAGAAAATGAACATCAATGCCAAGCAGAACAACATTTTTTTTTATGTTAGACGCAGTGTACTTGCCTTTCAGCTCATCAGCAGCAAAGAAAGCTGCCAGACAGTCCTCTAGCGTTACCATGGGGCCCCAAAACCAACTTGGAATACAGGACACTACAAACCTGCGTAAACACACAGATACAATCACATATAGAGATCAATGTTTGTTTCCAGTGCACTTACATTGTCTTAAATTCAGGTTTTGGTTATGATACACTACGGTTCAAACGTTTGGGGTCACTTAAAAAATGAATGACTGCTACTTTCATTATTATTTATTGTCTTTTGTAGCACTGCACATAAACAAAGCTGTGGTTACTTACCATTTTGAATATAACTTTGGTTATACAACTATGAAGCCATTCATTCATGTGGCAATTAAACTTTACAACTCCTCCCTCTGAGGTCAAAATAAGCTTTGAATAATGAAATATGTATTCAAAGTGTATTACATATGTATACTGTAAAGCTTGTCCATATTGGATGTCTTTTTTATCTTAATCCTTAGCTTTAATCGGATCTTTCTTATCCATTTCCAAGTAGCACCTGAAACAAAAGCAATTTCCTACTGGGATTAATAAAATACTCTGATTATTCACTGTCTTCAATCCAGGCGGATCATATCATTATATATACCCGTATTGAAATACTTAGATGAGATGATAAAATGAAGTCTCATGTCTGTCATTGTGATTTTGTTGTTGTTGCTTTCAGCACTTTTGATATTATTCTAATTCACTCATTTGGTTAACTGCCAGTCAGAGTTCTTATATTTACTGCACCATTGGCAACAGACACATATTTTATGTGCTCAATTATCCAAAAAACTCCAAGATGACTTTGAATAAAAGCTTTAATCTGAAACACATAACAGACATTGACTAATGTTCAATGAATGAATGTTCAAAAACAGCCTGACGTTGGTCTAAAAATCAGCTTGGTGCAACAGGGCCTTAACTGATTAAAATGCTAGCTTACCCAAAAAAAAAAAAAAAAATCTCCTTCACATCACTTAACCTCAAGCCCTGAGAGCCTCCTTTATCTTCAGAACACAAATTTAGATTTTTTCAGATAAAATCTGAGAGCTCTCTCATCCTCCACAGACAGAAACCATCCTGAGTTGATCAAAGTCCAGATATAGAACCAAAAACATCTAAATATTCCATGTGACAACAGTGGTTCAATTGTAATCATATGCAGCTCCAAGAATTCTAATTGTCTTAGTTCACCTATGTTTTTTCTTCCTTGTAACGTTGTCAGGGGGCACATTTACTACGGGCAATACAATGTATTTGCCATTAGAGTCAAATTGCCCATACTAAACGCACACACACAGACATAGGTAAACAAAGCCATTTTTACTGATTGATTACTTTGCATGATTATAGTAGAACCACTGAAGTCACATAAAAAGATTACTAACATTTTAGTTTTGGTCAGAATTTATGCTATTAACTACTGGCTTATTACCTGCCTATCATAAAGATATTAACTGTTGATTAGTAGTTAGAAAGTATGATCGTATTATGCATCCTAAATTCTACGCAAAACCTAAACCCAACTTTTACATTACTAATAAATAATAATAATTCCTTACATTTATCTAGAGCTTTTTATGTTACTCAAAGTGCTTTACGCATTGGGGGGAATCTCCTCATCCACCACCAGGCTGCAACATTCACGGCAGCCATATTGCGCCAGACCCCACACCACACACAAGCTGATTGGTAGATCAGAGATCAGAGTGATGAAGCCAATTATGATATGGGGATGGTTAGGAGGCCATAATTAACAAAGGCCCATGGGCAAATTGTGGCCAGGATGCCGGGATTAAACCCTTAGTCTTTTTCGAAGAACATCCGGGGTACTTTTCATGACCTCAGAGAGCCAGACCTCGGTTTAACATCTCATCTGAAAGATGGCACTCACTGAGCAGTGTAGAGTCCCCTTCACTATACTGGGGCGTTAGGACCCGCACAGACCATAGATTGAGTGTCCCCTACTGGCCTCACTAACACCACCTCCAGCAGCAACCTAGCTTTCCCATGTGGTCTCCCACCAGGTGCAGCTCTGCTTAGCGTTAGTGGGCAACCATGTGAGAGAAGCAGAGAGATTGCTGCCAGCATACAACTATTAATAACTATCAATAAACAGCCAATTAGTAGTTTATTAAGTCAGTAGTGTTAGTTAATGGTTTGTTAAAGGTTCACGAAACCCTCGAGTACTTTTTTTGAGATTTTAATAGATTTGTGTTTGTTTTGAGCATCGGTTAAGAAAATGTTAGCACCTGTTAGCTTTAAATGTGGGGAAAACTGGGTAATTTTGAGCTTTTGTCAACTAATTTCAGCTTCCGGGTTTAAAATGATTTTTGGGGTGGGATCGAAATCGGCGACGTAGCGCAGAACTGAAAGTGCAAAGAGGACGCATCGGTTTCTCATTATTATTCATAGCGGAGTTTTCATATCCTATGAGAAGAGCAGGCTTCTTAAATATTTATGAGAGCATGTGCTTTCCAAAGGCAAAGCAGACCTAGCTGCCAGTGCCAAGCTCAGCGGTGTAATCCTACGTAAATGACTGGGTGAGACAAGTCCGCGGACCCACGGCAAGCAGTATTTAGTCGTTCACGAAGGGTCGTATGTGTTTGTTTCCTTGATCCACGGGGTTTGTTGCATGTTTTTCCCCGCGATCCTGTCAGGGCCAATACAGCAAAGTTGTGCACACACGCGTCTCACCCAAGCATTTTTGTCAAGAAAGCAGTACTAGAATTGGAGAATGGTGGGCGTTGTCTTTTATCAGAAGTTCGTTCACATTTAGACACATCGCCGTGCTGCTGTGTTCGACTAAATCCTTAATTAACAGCAGGGCTAATGGTTAAAATAGACAGGGCAGAGACCTGCTGCACTGAGTCTGCATTCAGATCCGAGGATTGAGATAAAAGTCCTCATTTAGGGTTTATATGAACTTTATAATGATATAAATTGTGGTTATGTGTATATGAAATTCTAAATGTAGCAGGGCAATAAATTACTGTTAATTTCTTTGCATTTTAACTTTGTAAACTATAAAATCATGGGTCTCCGCATGGTTTGTGTCTCATTTTGTAAACTGACTGACAGTTGCTCGCTCCCCTCCTTCTCCCCTGCTCTTCTGGCCACGCCCACTCCTGCCCTTTGCTCGTGGAGCTCCACGCCCACTATGATGCATCTTTTGAAAAAATTCTGAGGTGGACCCGAAAGTGGGGGTGTCATGACCCTTTAATGCTGTGATTGTGACCTAATCTAAAGCGTTACCAAATGTTCTGACGTTTTAGATTCATCTTAGGACTGTTGCTGTCCATGGAGGGTCAAAGAGCTAAAGAGATTCATTTCTGTTCTGAAGATGAATAAAGGTCTAAGAAGGTCAACATAAATGTGAAAAATTAAAAACTAAATTTTCATTTTTGGGTGAATTTTTCTTTTTGTCAAATCCTTTTTTGACTCTTTGTTCATTCTCTGTCCAATCACTGTCTTACTATACCTTCGTATAGAGTCCATGATGTAGGAGATCCAGCCCTGTGCAGCATAGCCATCAGTGCAGACACCAGCTTTAACAGGTGCACTCTGGTGAATGGAGGAATGAAGCTTAGCCAAATCTTCTTTACCGGGTATAGGCAAAGAAAGGTCCTGAAACGTCTCCACAGTTGTCGAAACCTGCAAAGCCAAATAGTTTTGTTAAACCTTTTGTGTGTCTGCAGTCTTAAACATACTGTATTTTTGAAAAATATCCTCAATATGATTCATGTATATAAGGGCTGTTCTGTGCTGCTATGCATTGCAGTTTTTTTCTAGATGTGACCTTAAATGAACTACATGGTTTATAAATGAGCACAGTCGCGAATAAACTGTAGTAGTGCATTTTGAAGTGTTTTAAATGTAATTTGATGCTTGGCGCCCTCTAGAGACAAAATAAAAGATGCTGGCATCCCTGCTCACCCGGTCACATGTCAAACACTGAACAAGACTCAGAATGGATCCATCAAAGATATCGGAAATAACACTACGGAAACGGGACTGCTTCTTCTTCTTGGTGCTCAGTAGCATCTGAGCTATTAGAGAAACAATTATAATGGTTAATTAGTACAAAGGAAAATATTACATCAATGCTGTATATGTGTAAATTAAATAAGCAAGCAAACCTTTCTTGAAAGTATACGTGGGTCCAGTTCTGAGAGGGCTGGATCTTGGTGGGTTACTAGAGAGTCTGGAGTGAAGCTCCTGTACACTGTGAGCGGGGCTACAGGGGCGAGAGGATGGACAGTGCATGGAAGCTTCATTATCAGGTTCTGCAAGAAAAACAGAGGGATCAGGAAGCGCAAAGATTTGTTTTCACATCCAAAAATGTAATTACCAATGCAAACTTGCTCTGCTGTTTGTAAGATTGTATAAATCAAGAATATTAAAAAGAAATGAACACTTTTTTTGCAGCAGTGACGACTTTCACATTGTTAAAATCTTGTATTAGAAATAAATGCTGTTCTTTTAAAATTTGAAAACTGCATCCCAGTTCCTCACCAATAATATTATAATATAATAAACTTCACAGCAGTATCAAACGCGATAAGAAGTTTTTTTTTTGCTTACCACATATACTTTTGGCAATTTGATAAAACCCCACTTAATATAAGTACATTTTTAAAATTGTATTTGTATTTTTTTACTTGATATATAATAAATAACTTAAAACTCATGGAGAGACATTTTTAAAGACATTTAAAGTCTTTCAAATTTCACATAATAACAAAAAATGTTATGATGAGGGAGGCTTGTCAGTTGTCACATGTTAGTGGGTTCATCGTGATTCAACTGATACAATTGAGTCAAACTAGTGTGACAAATTAAGCATCTAGTAAATAGAGTGTTGTCATGCCTGGTTTCAAAAATAATATTTGAGAAGTATCTTTCATTTATGCTTGGCATGATTCCTTTGCCACTTTACATTTTCAATCATTTACAAATGAATTATAGATAGGGGTGGCCTATATTAAATGAGATTGCTAATGTGATTGAGCAAAGCTATGACTGTCATGCACATCTGTCATAAATCTCCTCTGAAGGCCAGAGGGCGCTCTTGTGCAGAAACTCCAAACACCTATTAAGAAAGCCAGGAAATAACCTTAGCGGTTGCTGAATGAACAAGGCCCAGTTTTAAAAAAAAAAATTATCTTGATCAAAATGGTCCAGATTTGAAAATTCCATGTTTTGCTATCCAGGATTAACTGATCTATCTAACTTTTATGACAGTTTTTTAAGGGAACATTGGGTTGGACCACTGTGATCTACATTTCAAACAGTGTAGCCTACTGGCTTTGCAGAGAACAAGCGGTAGGCAAAATATCAGTGGCCACAAAAAGTCATTGTTTTAAAGGAGTGTTTTTTTTTAGCTTGTTCTAATACATTCAATATTGTTTTGTCGTTGTCATATCTCATTAGATGTGACATGCTTCATAAAGGTTTCAAATATGAAAGAATTTATATATCATTAGTAACCATTAAGTATGTGACAACTTAAAAAAAAAAAAAAAAAAAAAAAACATTTAGGTTCAAAAACTAAATCCACACTTCAGATAGGATGAGGATTATCACGTTTTTTTTTTTTTTTTATCAAATAGATCCCAATCTAAGTTTAAAGTTTTGAATAACCCAAAGGGCAGGTTTTATCCAAATCAAATGTAAGATTTCAATACATGATCTGATCTTAATTAAAAATCCCACTGTTACTTTAAAAAACCCATTTCCAAATCTTGATCCAATCTGTGATCCAAAATCCCACTGGACTGCTTTTGAAAAAGTGGGCACAGATTATTTAACTGATGCGATTGATTCAGTGTGACTAATAAACGCACAACTATAGAATCATCTCACAGCAAGATTCATTTCAAACACTGAAGTTATTGCGAGTTTGGAGTTAAACCATGTTATTATTTGTTGCATGTTATTATATGTTACTTTTATTATTTACTAAACAGAGCTATAGTTCACTGAGAAGCAACTCAACAGCTGTTAATATTACAGAACAATGATTTTAATGTCATTATCGACCAAGCAAATCAAATAAATTTTTTTACAAATTTTTGTGTAGCTTCTCAGTGTACTACAGCTGTGTGTAGTAGATGCCGCTCCATCTGATGAATAGAAGTTTTACTAGAACCGTCTTCACTGAAAAAATGCACATAAAAATCCTCTTTGATTAATTTGCCAGCCCTAGGGTTAGAAGAAGAAACATATAATGCATAATAGAATAATTACTGATCACGTGACACTGAAAATTGGCAAAATGGCTGCTGAAAACTCAGCTTCTTTCCTTGCAGCAGACGCCCTTCCAGCTGCAACCCATCACTGGGAAACATCCATACACGTTCATTCACAGACATACACTACGGACAATTTAGCTTACCCAATTCACCTATAGTGCATGTCTTTGGACTTTTGGGGTGGAAACCGGAGCACCCGGAGGAAACCCATGCAAACACGGGGAGAACATGCAAACTCCACACAGAAATGCCAACTGTCCCAGCCGAGGCTCGAAACAGCAACCTTCTTGCTGTGAGGTGATTGTGCTACACACTGTGCTGCTTGCAGTATTAATATTTCACATTATATTTTTAATAAATGGTAAGCATAACTCTTTCAACAATAAAAACATGAAAAAATCTCAATTTTCAGGCCATCACACCTGTGTTTCCTGGTGCCGGCACAGCTGTGGCTGGTGTCGCTGTTTCAGTTTCTCTCTCAGCCTGTCCGTCTTGTGCAGCTGTGTCCACATCTGCATCCTCATCCATTTCACGTGTCCTCTCTTCTCCTCTTCTCTCCTTCAGCCTCTCTTTCTCCGAGATGCCTCCGGTTCCTCTCACTGCCACACATTCATCTTGAATGAGGAGCTCTGCTTCTCCTCCTGCACGCTCTCCATCTCCCCTTTCGCTTCCTGATCCAGAGTCACACGACAGGAATTCGTCTTCAGAGGGGCTTCGGTCTCCGTCCACAAGATTACAGCTGTCCAGACTGAGGTCAGGCTCGACTTCAGAGATGCCACCGCTGCAGTCAAACAAAGGCTCCTTCAGCTCCTCGTGAAGCTGGTCCATCAGACATCGCAAAAACTCCTGAGTGTCCTAGAAACAGGCAAGAAACAAAATGTCAATGAGGTTTATATTATTTCTTTGAAAATAATAGTCTTTAAAAAATGCACAGTAGACATCATATGAGTGTTATTACTGTTTAACAAAACTATTCAAAATCAATGTTGTCTGGCACCGGTAGCCTTGTGGGTGGTATGCTGACATGTAGCACCACTGCATTCTGGGCAATTAAAGTTCGAATTAAAGCTTGCAGACTTTTCCTGATAACCCTCACTCCCAAATACTCTAGCTTGTCTCACAAATCTCCTTTAACAATACAGGTAAAAATGTTTTTCAAATATATAAATAAAAGAAATAAATCTTTGAATAAAATACACTCACTGGCCACTTTATTGGGGTACACCTGTCCAACTGCTCATTAGCACAAATGTCTAATCAGTCGATCACATGACAGCAACTCACTGCATTTAGACATTTAGACGTGGTCAATACAATTTGCTGCAGTTCAAAATGAGCATCAGAATGGGGAAGAAAGGTGTTTTAAGGTATTTTGACATGGTTGATGATGCCAGAATTTGGCGTCAACAACATGAAAGCATTGATCAATCCTGCCTTGTATCAACGGTTCAGGCTGGTGGTAGTAGTGTAATGGTGCAGGGGATATTTTCTTGGCACACTTTGGGTCCATTAGTACCAATTGAAAATTGTGTCAACGCCACAGACAGCCTACCAGTGTATTGTTGCTGACCATGTCCATCCCTTTATGACCACACCTTTATGACCACATCCATCTTCTGAAGTCTACTTCCAGCAGGATAACATGCCATGTCATAAAGTGCGAATCATCGCAGAGTGGTTTCTTAAACCTGACAATGAGTTTACTGTACTCAAATGGCCTCCACAGTCACCAGAACTTCAATAGAGCACCTTTGGGATGTGGTGGAACAGGAGATTCACATCATGGATGTGCAGCTGAAAAATGCAGCAACTGCAACTGCATGATGCTATCATGTCAATATGGAGCAAAATCTGTGAGGAATATTTCCAGTTCCAAGTTGAATCTATGCCACGATAAAGATAAGATAAAGACAGTTGTGACGGCAAAAGGTGGTCCAATCTGGTACTATTAAAGTGTACCTAATTAAGTGGCTGGTGAGTGCATAACTTACTGATAAATAAAAAATCAAATAGCACTAAAATACTGAAATAAAAGAGATCTAAATCTAAAATTTTTTAAGCCTAAATAAAAGACCTGACAGAATTGCAAATAATATAACATACTATAATATTACCATAATATAACAGAAAAAAAACATTAAAATAAAAATGAAATAAATAAACACTACACACTATAGTGGAATTTAAATAAAACACACTACACACTATAGTGGAATTTAAATAAAACACACTAGGGCTACTACAATGTATTGTTTCAGATTGTTTTCAGATTGCACATCCACTATTGGCAGAATGTGCAGTGTCATGTAGGGATTATCAATGACTTGAAAACATGAAGTGGTCTACATATATCAATGGTCTTATATATATATATCATCATTATATTATATATATATCATATATATGATATATATATATATATATATATCAAAAATATATATCAAAAATGCTAAATATTGCTATGTATTTTTTCCAATATTGTGAAGCCCTAGAATACACCACAGTGCTTCCCACGGGTTTGAAATATATTTGCGGTGCTAGCTGGATTGAAACACACCTTTTACCCACATCAGATAAATAGTTAACTATATGCAACAAACATAACAATTTAATTGTTAACAATAATTAAATTTATTAAGAAACAGTTTCCTTACAATGGGTTAAGGTACAAAAAAAAAAAAAAAAAAAAGAAATTCACTATTTCTTTTAATTTTAGGCTATTCAGGAGCCATGTACACCCACTGACAGATAAAATCTGCTTTACTCTATCTCACAATTAAGTTCAGTTTGCTTTATTGGCATCAAATTAATAAAATATAAAACAAATTAGAAATAAATGACAGAAAAAAGGAATAAAAGTAGACAATATCTCAAAAAAATATAATAATTACAAGAATAAAACATCTAGATAATTTAAATAGGGCAAAATAATTGATTACCCATACTAATAATGTACATATATTTTTCAGCTAATTTAGAACTCATAATTTCTTTCAATTCCTTTCCTCTCTGAGTATATAGAATTAAAAAATAATTATTTAATGTTTCTCTCACTCTCTGTGTGCATAATTGATGACAGCTTTAGAAAGCGAAAGCAAAAGTCAAATCCCGGTAATTTCAGATTTAGAAACCCCAGTCTGACAAAAAAAGCGCATCTCTGTGGGTGTTTATAGAATGTGAAACTGTCTGTGAAAGGGTCGACAGGTCTTAACCACACAGATCGAGCATGAAACGGGTAAACGAGAGAAGATTTTCCACTACTTAATCGATTGTAGATGTTTCGTTCTATTGGGCGGATACAAAAAAAAATTAACATACTTGAGCGGTAAGCTCAATAAAAGTTTACCTGTGGGAAGCACTGCATGAAATAGTAGTATACAGACTTTACTAAAATAACACTGCTTTATACCTGTTGAGCATAGCCACGAAACATGGGGTTCACCAGTTTGATTCCATGAAACAGAGTAGTTGGCACAACATAACTCGGCCTGGACAGAGGGCCAAAGAAAGCACAAAAGAGAGAAAAAGAAAGGCCATAGGCAACAATATGGATACTTAATTATGACCAAAATCAATAGATTAAGTTCAACAGAACAGGCCAGATCTACGTTAACGGTCTGGCAAGTCAGTGCTTGTTACCGTTTCTTGTGCCAGAGTTCAGAGATAAGCTTCTGATAGCTTTTACACAATGCCGGCTTCTTATCCGTACGCACCAATCCACTGCAATCCTGGAAAAACTGAGTCAAAGGAGGACTGGGAAATGAATATAAAGAAGCAGGAAACCCAAAGTCAGTTAAAGAGCTGGACGCGCAGACCTGAGAAATCAATCAGTGCAATCAGTCACTCAACAAATCTGTGTCAGGATTTTAAGCCTACCAGTTGGACAAGGCCTGCAGTGCAGCATTCATATAACAAGAGTTTCCAATGTTTTTCATCCCTGTCAGACCTGGGAAGGGTAAAGAGTATTAGAAAATAACACAATGAAGCTTACTATGACTAATTTTGAAGTGTTGAATTTTAGCTGTTGAAAACACAACAACTGACAATAAGATACAATATAAAGGGCACATATTTTACCCTTTTTACAAGATGTAAGATAAGCCTTTGGTGTCTCCAGAATGTGTCTGTAAAGTTTCAGCTCAAAATAGATTATTTATTATAGCCTCCAGAATCTGTCCATGTTGGTGTCTAAATACAATGTGGCTGTTTTTGTAGCCTGTGGATTTAAGTGCAAATGACCTGCTTCTCCCCGCCTACCGTTCCCATGTGCGTGTCTGCTTTTCATCATGCGTTATGTCAGATAAACAGCAGTCAGTGATAGAGACAGGCACAGATGAAGCTGAAATACAGCTCATTAGTCAAAAATACCAAGTAGGTTTATTTGATATATTTGTGGTGGTTTATTTAAGCCTTTCTGAAATGAAGAGTCTCACACAAATGCCATTTGCACGGCACACACACACATATAAAGGCCATTTACTAACACAATGCGGCAGTGGTGATTATAGCGGTTTATAGCAGACTACACAGTGATTTTCCTGTCTTTACTACAAACATGCTATGCTTTAAAACAGCCCTAAACTAAAAAAAAAAATCACAGAGAGTTGTGACATGTTTTACTCCCAGTTTATTTGCAAAAAATCTTTTTATGGACATGTGTATACATGCTATTATAGAAACATTGTGCCTGTCAATCAATTCGGTGGGTGGTGAAAAGGCGAACTCCTATGTCAAGTTGTGGTGGGTCTCAAAATCTCTGGGATTTGGGTCCTATTTCAATGTCATTAAATTTTAAAAAAGAGACTTGTTGGATTTACATCAATCCTATATGACAGTGGACACACTATACTTACAGTGCTGTCCAGCTTAGGTGAATTCAAGTCAGCTTTATGTTAATGTATTTTAAAATTATAATTCAAGCTTAACTGCTTCCATTAAGGTTTTTTTTTTACAGATTAATAATAATTATCATTTAATTCTCTCCTTTAAGATGTTATAAAAAAAAACATAAAAGTCCAACCTGTTTGTAAAAAAATAAACAAAAGTTAATCTATGAAAACAACTGTTAATACTTAGACGAAGGTGTGACATCAGTCATTTTGTTTGTTTAGTTTCCATTTGGGTAATCATATTTTCATGCAGGAATGATACTTTTAAATATTAAAAATTACATTTATTTCAAATAAACAGTGTTTGTTTGGACTTTTAACTATATTTTTAATATTAATTCTGAAGATCCCTGTGACAATGATGACTGGAGTAATGAAGCTGAAATTTTTTTGCCATAACAGAAAACAATTACACTTTTTAAAAACATGAAAGTGTCTAGGTTGGTGCTCTTGCTTTTAGCATTTATTAAAAGATTTGAAATGGTATGTAGCATGTACCAGCTTTCAGTATACATGATACCTCTAGGTTTGAGCTCATCCTCCTCAGACTCTGAGCCCTCCTCATCTGCCACTGCGATAGGCACCGCCTTCAATGGGTAACATGTAGTCTGCGAAACAGGATCCTTTGTGAAACAAAAAAAGACAGAACTATGTATCTTGTATTGTACATGACCTTTATGAAGCACATTGTCTAAAGAGGATCTCCAGACTGATGTTAATTATATAGGAGACAGCCAACCTCAAACAGCAACCTTTGCACAATACTAAAAGTGCAACTCTATGAGCGGTTTCAAATAGTCTAACGTATCTACCTGGTCATGTGGTTTGCAGCGGTGAGCTGATGATACAGGAGTAACAGGCTTCGGTTCCAGAAACACCTCTCTTTCGCAGACATAACACCACACCCTGAATGTGGTCAGGTTTACTGTCAGATTGTGCTTTTTGGCCTGGAAAATAGTTAAAAGAAGATAAACAGATGTACAAAAATGTACATTCGAGAGTTACATATTATTACACCTGTTACTTACAGCAGTGAAATTTAAACCATGCTGAACTGAACTAAACTGAACTTCAACTCTGAAATCTGGACTTTACTAGAACTTTTATGTTAAGCAGCTTTGACAAAATCTACATTTTGCTAAAAGCGCTATAAAAATAAGGATGAATTGTATTGAATACCTATATAATGCAATGTTCTGTCATAATTATCCAAACAAAAGAGCATGTTACATTTAAAGAAGTAGTTCACCCAAAACTGAAAATCTTGTCACCATTTTCTTTCCCTTCACTTGTCCCAAACCTGGTTTGAGTTTCTTTCTTCTGTTGAACACAAAAAAAGATATTTTAAAGAAAGTAGAAAACCTGTAACCATTGACTTGCATAGTATTTGCTTTTCCTACTATGCAGATCAATGTTTACGGTTTACAGTTTTCTTCAAAATATATTATTTTAAGTTCAGCGGAAAAAAAAGAGCTCATAATAGTTTCAAACCAATTTAAGGCGATTAAACAGTGAGTAAATTTTCATTATTGTGTGAACCATCCTTTTAATACTGTCTTGATTAAACTATTCCGTGTTTAGGAATTCAACAATGCTTAAAATTCTGTTTAAAGATCCAAATGAACCTGCAATTTAACATGAAGTTTTTGTCTATTCTGTATATAGTTTGGAAACTCATGAGCAGAACTGTAGGATGAATGCTTGAGAATGGACATAATAACCAATCAAATCATAAATATCACCTGTGCATGAATAGTACTGTGGTCTGAATACGACTCTCCACAGCCTACATAAGGACAGTCACACTGTAAAAAAATAAAGTAAGAGGCATTTGATTGAACTGTAGTGACAGATCTTTTCCTCCATATTCTAATCTGAATGGATAATCAAAAAAAAAAAAACTGCAGGGGCACTTGATTCTAAAGTATTTTTTTTAATACAATGAGTTTATGATAAGATCATTAACACCATTTAAAAAACAAATGATATTTATTTCATGCCTGCTTCAAAGTAATGTTCTGGACTAATCTTGGATTAAACCATACTGACCAAATGACTTTGTAAATCCTTGTATAACCTAAAGATCCACTGTACTTCTCAAATAGTTTGCCATACCTGCAGACATGCCCAGAGATTTGGTCCACCTACTCCACATGACTGACACGTGCCCTTGAAAAAAAAAAAAACATAACAATATTCAATCCACTGCACTCATTATATTAAGTCCTGTACATCAGCTAAATTAATTCTAACCTTTGATTTCTGAATCAGTTCTTCTTTAGTAACTTCACCAATCGAGTCCAAGTGAGGACAAAGATCCCCGCTGTCAGTCATCCTGATTTTCTTCTCACTCTATTGAAAAGCACAAAAATCACTTCAAAGTTACAGCTCACCCAAAAAGTCTGTCAATAAGTATTCTACCTAATGTTGTTCTAAACCCAGTCAAATTAAAATATCTTAGAGCTCCCTCATCTTCCATGGATAGCAATGGTCCCAACTCATTCAAAATCCTCAAAGATACCACAAAACATAATTAAAATAGTCCATGTATCTTAAATGGTTCAATCGTAATATTATGTAACAATAACAAAATGAATAAATAAATAAAAATAAATCATTTATCATAAATAAAACACCTTTATTCAACAGTTTCTTTCTATTCTGGTTAGTATATGGTGCACTTTCATGAGCACTGATGTATACCTCAGATGTCAACACAATCTTCCTCTGTTTGAAACAAAGCACAGGCACATCCAAACAATACATCAGGAGCGTGACATGCATAAAGGCCACAGCATGGAGTGCTGGACTGGGGAGAAGAAATATTGTTGTTTATTTTTGCTTTAGGTGCACACAAAAGTAATCTTGTATCTTTATAATGCTCTAATTGAACAACTGAAAGGATATATGGGATGCTTTAGTATTTTTCTGGACTTTGAACAAGTCAGATGGTTGCTGTTTATGGAAGATCATAGTGCTCTCAGATTTAATCTAAAATAAGGCTGTACAATAGTGGAAAAATCTAACATTGCAATATATATATTTTTTTTGCAATATATTTTGCGATATGAACACAATTTCAGCAAATGACTCTACTTCTATTTTCTATTTGGAAAAAAGTTATAATGTTAGATTTATTGGGATGATTCTGCAGTGGAAGTGCATCTCCATTAAATCTAATAAACAATCTATAAACTATTTGGAGTCCCCCTGACACATTTTTATTGTGGTCTGTGCTATTTGCAGAGTATTTCTGTATTTGAATGTGTTGTGGGTATTTTCATGAATAACAATCTATAAATAAAATTAAGAAAAAGATACAATTGAAATAAAGTATTTTATCGTTTTTTGAGTCTAAAAATATTTAAGTGCAGTAACTGAATGATAAAAACTAAAGTAGTTAAGGTCACAAGTTGTACAATTTCTTATACCTGAATGCTTTTAAAATCATTATACAATCACAGGCATCAAAAACAAACTCAACATAGCATAGATCCTGCTATGTGACTATTGTGTAATACTGATCATGATATCGATGCTGAAGCAATATATTGTGCAGCCCTGATCTAAAATATCTTACTTTGTATTCTGAAAATGAATAAAGGTCTTGTGGAGTTTGGAACAACATGAGGTTGAATAATAATCCTTTCTTTTTATTTTATTTCTGGGGTAAACAAACCCTTTAAGAATGTCTGGTACAGCTCTGAGACTGCGCAGCACCAATACAGTAAATAACATTGATTTTTAAAAATCTTTCTCCAAAATTAACAAAAATCAAAAAGTCAGAAACCATAAACTTTCATTAATATGAAATGATGACAAAATTATTTGATAAACTGTCCCCATAAGAACCTTACACTCTCATTACCAGTGAGAATTATAAATAAAAATCTGCCCTCATTGAATAGATATTAACGGAAATATATACCATATTATATAATATTTTTTTTATAAGTATAAAAATTTAAAAATATTTATAGAGTATTGAGGATGGTATCTATCTAGCATATCTGCTCAATGTGTGTTATGTTTCTGCCTAGAACTGTTAAGAGGCCAAAATTGCTGTTTCATTCGCCTAGTCAGTTGATGGGAAAAAAAAACATTCGTCCCGTACCAACACCTCCATTACAGCAAGGGAAATATACAATAATTGATATAAAAAAACATGATTCTATGAATCAAATTTTCACTAGAAAACTAACTTCAACTGAAGTCCGAAACGACGCAGAAAACAATCGCGTTAATATGAATGTAATGCAAACAATTCATCTGAATTAAAACATAATATCTAAAACAAAACAAATAGTTTTTCCTCTTCGTCTTCGGTGTTTATTATGTTCATAAACACACAGCAGTCCTCAAATACGTCACGGTGAACCACCTAAAAGCTGTTTAACATCACGATCTTGCAGAATAAACAGGCCATATTTCCACTCGGTCTGCAAGACACTATTCATACGCTGAGTCGACATGATGTTATCATATCAAACAACAGTGACAGTCCGATTTAGCAAAAGGAAAGACAGAAACAGATATTTACCTGTCATACAGAAACAAAAATATCGCTCATAGATAGTCATTTTAGGCCAATCGGAGGTGTTTGTAACAGTGGTGGGAAGCAGTGTAACGTTACTACTAAGCAGCATCCATACTGAATACAGCAGAAGCGTGCGTCACGGCTTTGACCACAGCCAATGAGCGCATTTCGTTCTTTAGCATGATCAAATAATTTTTTATTTACTTCGATTATAAAATACACATACTGCTTGTTTTACACGTTCATTTATCGTATAGAGTGTTTATTATTAAATTTACGCCGTTTTTGTTTTGTTTTTCTGTATCGTGTCATAGAAGCAGCTGATCTAGAACCAGTCTCATCATTCCGCTTTTCGCCGTTCAACGGCTGTACAAAAAACAGGCAAGCTGATCTGAGATCAACTGTTAAGACGACAAATGTGATGCCAGCGAGCGGAAGTTTCTAGAGAATGAGGTCCGTCACTAAACATAGACCGCCACCGTTGCGTACAGACGGACGAGGGGTAACGTAACGCTTATCAGTAAATAATTCGACGAGTTTTAAAAACAAGTCATGCCACCAGGTAAAAATTTTAGAAGAAGGAAAGAGGATTCATCCGACGAGGAAGATGATGAAACAAAATTCGTAGTCAGGTAGATATATTCAACACATTCAGGCCAAACAAAGTAAACACAGCTGTTGTAAACCGCTTGGTAAAACGAGCAGAAAAGATTAATGCAGCTGACTTGTTTAGTTTGTACATGCATTCAGAGAGGACAGAAACCTATTGAATGTGAAAAACTATTTAAAGATGTTACTTTTATTATATGTTTACCCAGGTCAAAACTGGATGAAGCCAAGGAGCTACAGAGTCTGCGAAAAAGGCAGCATGGAGTGAGGTTGGTCATGAGCTGCTTTGTGGTTGTTACTGTTGGTGGTGTTTACATTTTTCTTTCTTTTCATTGTGTAATTAAAGTGAGAATAATAAATGCTATTTTCCATTCTGTTTGTCCAGCATTGCAACGTTACTTGTTGGAGAGAAGCTTCCTTTAGAGGCTGAGCTTGAGGTGTTTTATTATTTTAATCAAACTACATTTTGCACTACAATACAAGCCTTGCAGTGTAACTTTGTTCTTCTCTATGAGCTAATAGAGGTTTGACATTTTGTCCCTCCATGTTTATGTCATAGGATGACCCATTTAAACTGAAGACTGGAGGTGTTGTTGACATGAAGAAAGTGAAAGACAGAAGCAGAGACATGTAAGAATTAAGTAAACATGTTAGCTTTTCATTTCAAGATGTCTCTATATTTGCATCTTGACACTTCCTCTTTTGTTACAGGACAGTGGATGAAAATGACCTCAATCTTGGTACATCCTTTTCTGCCGAGACAAACAGAAGAGATGAAGATGCTGACATGTAAGTGCATGCTTCTACATCACATACTCTCTGCATTGCTGGTTTTGTCACTATGTTTAAAGCCTCTCCCATCATGCATCTCATTTCACGCAGGATGAAGTACATTGAGACAGAGTTAAAGAAAAAGAAAGGCATGGTGGAGGCAGAGGAGCAGAAGGTAAAGGTGAAGAATCCAGAGGACCTCCTGTATGAGCTTCCAGAGAACATCAACGTCAGCTCTGCCAAAAAGACAGAAGAGATGTTGTCCAATCAGATGCTGAGCGGAATTCCAGAGGTGGATCTGGGGATTGAGTGAGTAAAGACACAAGCTAATTCATGGACATCAGTTATTGTTTTCTCTAGACTGGTGGCTCAGAACAAACAAATGATTGATGTCAACCTAAAAGCCTCTTTTCTCTCTTTCTTCTCAGCGCAAAGATAAAGAATATCATCAACACAGAAGAAGCCAAAGCAAAGCTGCTAGCTGAGCAGAGGAATAAGAAGAAAGACAGCGGGACCTCCTTTGTTCCCACAAACATTGCGGTCAATTACGTCCAGCATAATCGCTGTAAGTGTACACACAAACAACTGTTTGTTCAAACGTTTGTCAGTAAGATGTTTTTAAGTCTCTTATGCTCACATTTAAGGGATAGTTCATTTTTTTTCATTTGTTCTCCTTCATGTGGTTTTAAACAGTTATTAGTTTCTTTCTTTTGTTGAACCCAAAAGAAGATGTTTTGAAGAAAACTGATTGCTGGAATCCATCATCGTCAATGGCTTCTTTGTGTTTTGGTTTTGAACAAGTGAAGGCTGATTTAAATGATGGCAGAATTAAAAAACTTTTGAGTAGAAGTATCCCTTTAAAAATGTAATCTTGTGAAATATTTTTGCAGTCTGTAATTGCACTCATTTTCTTTTTTTCATAATCAGGTTTTTAAGATTATAAAAAAATGTTGTAAATTGTTCATTGTAAAGCTGAATTGTTCAGCAAACATTAGTCCAGTTCTTCACAATTCTTTCTAATACGATGATTTGGTGCCTAATTTACACATTTATCTTTCAATATTAAAAAAAACGGAAATTAATGTAAATTTCAAAAGCAGAGCATTTACTTAAAATACATTTTGTAACAAAACTGTACAAAGAAAAGGCCAATGATTGATTTCTCAAAATTGTTCACTAACCATATCTGTTTTCAAGTGTAAGCTTTTATCAACAGCTCTGTCTATGCCTAACAAATAAGTAAACAGTAAAATGTGAACCATATTTAAAACATTTGCTATCCCAAAGAAGAAAGATTAAGTCATCATCTGTTCTATTTTGTCAAGTCTACCATGAGGATTCAAACGCGCCCCAAAGACGCAACAGAGAAGAGCCTAAAGCCAGGCCATTGCGTGTAGGAGACACAGAGAAACCAGCACCTGAGGGTAAGATCAGATTGAAAACCTCTTCAGCTTTTATGCCCTGCTGTTTTTAATGTATTCATGTTCATATGATTTGGTGTATTTTTTTCGGTCTCCAGCCTCACCACCCAATTTCCGCAAGAGACCCAATAACGAGAAGGCCACAGATGACTACCACTATGAGAAATTTAAGAAAATGAACCGACGATATTAATCCTTCACTAATAATTCAGTTACCATGATGGAGTTTGTTTTTCCTTTCTGTAAACTGAAAGATGTAAATACTTTGTACTATATTTAAAAAAATGTCTCTGCTAAATATCTGTAACTTACGATAAGCTTTTTACAATAAAACTTCACCCAAATTGTTGGTAGTTTTTTGAAAATATTTTATAACAGAAAAACTTTTAGTTGCATAAATTTAGCGCATTGTTCAATTTCATAATTATATAATGATTGTAGAACAGTTCCACATAAATGCTCAATCACTGCATATGTATGAAACTTTATTCTTATTAAACGGTTATTCTACAGGATTTGATAATGAAATACTGTAACCTCTGTTACACTAACAGCATATTACCTTTTCTCTAAAGGTTTTGTTTTGAGGTCTCAAGCTAAAATCGAAAGGTCATCACAAAGTTACACAGCAATACAAATAATGTATGAATGAATAAAAAAATGACAAAATGAGAACTCTTCCTTAGCAGTCACATTTAGGAAAACAGTGCACATGTACCATAAAATTAAAGATTTTTTTTCTTGTTAAAATTAATATCTCTTATCCAAAAAAAAAAGTTTCAATATTCATTGATTTTGCAGAATTGTTGTAATATTACTCAAGCTGACAAAAAGATAAATACTTCTTTATACCATTGCCAAGTTACCCAGCTACAATATTTTTTCCAGGGTCCTGTACCCTGAAGCCAGATCAGCTGGATAAACAGTTATGTTTCAGTTTAGCTTGCACCATTTCTAGGTTTCGGGTAAAATTAGTGGTTATTATAGATAATACCACGACAGCAAAGTGTGATATAAGTGGAGCTGCTTTCATCTAAACTAAAACCCAATATTGGAGCAAACTAAATTGAAACTTTATCTAGCTTCTTGGTACAGGCTCCAGAAATGTTATCAGTATTATTTCAGTGTAATTATTTCCAGACAAAATTGCACCAAATCAAGTAGTTCTCAGATTTGCAGTCTGCAGTTGAAGGTTTCTGGTGAAGCTTAATGTGATGGCAAGTTGTTTAGTTGTGCAATCTAACAAGTCCGTAAAGAAAGTCCCCAGTATTTCATGACTGCTCACTAGTGCCACTGCCGTTGCGGTGACGTTGCATAGACTCCTGGGATCCCAAGTGGTCTGAGTCCTCAGGGTTGGCATTTGAGGGGTCAGAGGTCATCTCAGGGGACCCCCAACTGTCCTGCCGATGAAAGGCCTCACAAAGTGGCAACTCAACACCATCCCATTGTCCACAGCTAGAAACGTTATACACACACATTACACACATGCACACAAACTAACATTTCTTCAGTCCACATCTGCCTAAAACTTTCACTATATTATAAGGATTAAACATGATACTGCTAAACATTCATTCAGTCATAAGACAAAACATACACAAACTGTATAGTATGGTATATACTATACAGTAATGAATATATGAAGGACTGAGAAAAGAAGCACAAGCAGAGAAAGGAAGTTGTGGAAAGCATTATTTAGGACTGCTACTAGTGATTGGAAACGTGTGGTCACATGATGTTCTCAAGAGTTTTGGTCTTTCAGGTGTCATTTGTCTTCTGTTTGCCGTTTTGTTGTGCACTCAACAGACGTGTGTGCTCTAATGTCAGAATTGCTCAATAGATGAGAAGTGAAAGGCTGTTAGCAAAGAATTTTGACTATGCACTCAGCAGACAGAGGCAGAACATAGATTACAAATCAGAGGTGAGCAAATAATAGATCAGACACTAATTATGCTCTCTTTTCTCTCTGGTTTATTTATGAAATTTGAAATGACCTGTTGGTTTGTGGGGAAAACTTGACAAATATTGTGATACATTCAGAACAGGTACTAATGTGACCAACACTGTTTCTACCCAATACTTCACCACATCAAAACAGTGTAGTGCAATATCAAACCACTGAGGGAAACAAATGCTCTATAAATAATAATGTTACATCTCGACACATTTGTAAATAAAAGATAAAATACACTATATTGTCAAAAGTTTTGGAACATCTGCCTTTATATGTACATGAACTTTAATGACATCCCAATCTTAAGCTGTATTATATAATATAGCGTTGACCCACCCTTTTTAGCTATAAAGGCCACAAAGATGCTTGTGATTTCCACAAGGTTAAAGAGTGTTTATAGAAATATTTGACCATTCTTATAGAACGCAAGTGTCAATTTCAGTTCCTGGAAGGCCACAGCTAGGCACAGTTTAGCTTTTACCCTAATTAAAGACACCTGATCAAAAGTATAGAGTACTTAAGGCTTGCATGAATTCTACAGGTTAAGCCTGGTTTATACTTCTGCATCAATTGATCAGCGTGTCTGTTGAACCAGGGTTGAAACTAAACTGTGCAGAGCTGCGGCCCTCCAGCAACTGCATTTGACACCTGTGTTCTAGAAGCACATTTGTGAGGTCACGCACTGATGTTGTACAAGAAGGCCTGGCTAACACTCTTCACTTCTTTCCAAAGGTGTTCAATCAGGTTGATATCAGTACTCTGTGCAGGCCAGTCAACTTTCTCCACACCAAACTTGCTCATTCAATTTTTTATGGACCTTGCTTTGTGCACTGGTGTGCAGTCATGTTGGAACAGGAGGGGGGTCATTCTCAAACTTTACCCAGTGTAAGGAGCATGAAATTGTCCATGTCTGATATGCTGAAGCATTAAGCGTTTATGCCACTTGAACTAAAGGGCAAACCCCAAACCCTGAAAAACAGCCTCCAACCATAATCCCCTCTCCATCAAGCATAACACTTGGCACATAGCATTCAGGCGAGATGTCGTTCTCCTGGCAACTGCCAAACCCAGATTCATCCATTGGATTGCCAGACAGGGAAGCATGAAACGTCACCCCAGAAAACATATTTCCACAACTTTAGAGTTCAGTGGCGGTTTGCTTTACATCATTGTATCCGCCACTTTTCATTGCACTTGGTAAAGTACAGCTTGAATTCGACAGCTCGACCATGGAAACGAATTCCAGCTTTCGATGCACTGCTCTTGAGCTAATCTGAAGGCCACATAAAGTTTGGAGGTCTCAGACTTTGAGAGTTCTGACCCGCTCTGTGATTTTTGGTGCCTACCATATTGTTGCTAAGGTCCGCATGCCTAGGAGCTTTATTTTTTGGAAGTGATCAGAATCCCTGAATTTGGGATTTTGAGTGGTGTCCCAAAACATTTGGCAATATAGTATATTTTTGCCAATTTACAAAAACTTCCATTAAAATTTAAAGAAAAAAAAAAAAACATGCCATTTGTGAATGATATGGAACATGAAAAAAAATCAGTTTCTTGAGCGTATCAAATCATTTTCTTCCAGTAAGCTAATTTATATGCTGTTTAACGTTTGATTATACAATAAAGAACCCTACAGGTGCATTCATGCCATGTCGTAATTATGAAATTCTAAAGAGCAAAATCATTATTGCAGTTAAACTAATCATAAACTGGTTATGATTAATTTAATTAATTTTAATAGTGATTGATGATGAAACAAAACTTACAATTTCAAATCCTAGGATGATAGAGAATTCACAAGTAAGCAGCCAAGCACCAGAGATATAAGAGTTTTTATTTTTTTGCACATCTACTTGAATTACATACATTGACTATGATCTGGTCAAATGTTTGAGAAAAGTCAGACAAAGAGCCTAGAAACATTTTAGAGGTTTAAAAACATGGCAGCATATTTGTCATTAACCATTTTTGTTAAAATTCAGTTTTTAGTTCTTCTTGCTAAATGTTATTAGCATAAACATTAATGTAAATCTGAGCTGTTGGAAATTCTAGAGCAGGGGTGCCCAAACTCTATTCGTGTCCAAAATTTTCCACATGGCTATAGGCTGCCATAGACTTCAAGAGTCAGACAATTTTAGTAAGATAAGGAATGAATACATAGGTCTCTATAGCTTCTGTGCCCAGCCCCCAGAGATGCGTGTTATCTTGAATTCATGGTAATTACGACATGGTCTGAATGAAGCCTTTACTCTTTATTACATATTTTAAAGTGCTCTGAATTTTGCTAGTCCTCATTGTGTTAAAACTTTATTGCGCCAAACTACTTTTAAAAACATTAACATCTATGATTTTCCAAAAAATTGTGTATTATTAAATAATTCCCATAATACCTCAATTAAAATATATCTTTTTGTGAAACTATTACTGGTCACCTTGTTTCAAAAACTCCTTAAATTCATCTAAAATGTTTGTATAGTACATAAGATCAACATTTAATTATTCAGCACCACTAATAAACAGAAAATTAACATCCTGATATCTGATTGCAACATTGATATATAAAATAGATATTCTAAAACAATCATACAAGGCACCTGGGATGGAATCTTTATATGCACTTATAGTTGTATAACGGATAAGAGATTTCTTGTGCAGTTATACTTGCCCAGTTATACCGAAAGTGCTTGATAACGTCTTTGGTGTGAAATTAATACAATGTAAATACATATGTTATTTTATGAGCATAGCAGAAAAACACATATAATGATACCCTGCTTGTTATAAATATAAACTATAGCAAAACTGTAAGTCTAACTACAAGTTTCCTTAATTTTCCTATGTCATTAATGCTTACCTGCAAGAATCTGCACTCTAATTAAGGCACACAATGGTATTAAATGCATGTGTATGGAAAACCAAACTTGCATGGTTTGATCAAACAAATAGCCCAATGTTAGCATTGTTAGCAATGTTCAATGATTGAAGCCAGTAACTGGTTATGCAAATTAAAAAAACCTTTAAACACAAGAATGGCTCCATGAATCACCCTGTGTTATGTTTTCTTATGATGTACATATACATCAGGTTTATGGCTCTGGTAAGCAAGTAAAGGCAGGGGTGACTGCACACACGTTTGGGATCACTGCTCTATTTGTACCTGGAGGAGTAATACTCTTCCTCGAGCTCATACAGGTCGATGGCAATCTCATCCCGCAAAGAGATGAGCTTCTTGTCGCACTCCTCCTGCAGTGTGCGGAGCTGCTGGTTACGCAGACTGATGGCCTCGTTGACAGACGGGAAATCATTCAGGATAAGGAACTGCTTCAGGTCTGAGACAAGCTTCATCAGAGACTCTCCTGCACGTACCTAACACACAAACACATTTAATCCGTTATTGTCATCCAAGTGTGAGATGTGCGTTAGGGGTCAACTGATTATCAGCACCGATGTTAATTGTTTTTATTGTTCGACATCCAACTGTGAGGCGTCTATTCGGGGTCGACCAAATATCGGCACAGTAATTAAATGCTTTAATCATGGTTTATCATCTAACTGTGACGTATCCATTAGAGATTGACTAATTATCATCAATTATCTGCATTAGTTATTTGCATGGTTTTTCATCAAACTCTTGAGTTGCCCATCAGGGGTTGACTAATTATCTGCACCGATATTAAGCAGTTTTATGGTATGTTAGTCAACTGTGAGGTGTCTATTAAGAGTTAGTTAATTATTGTCACCGATAAAGCATTTTTATGGTATGTCATCCAACTTTTAGGTGTCCATTAAGATTTAATCAATTATCGGCACCTATATTAAGCATTTATATGGTATTTCAGCCAACTCTAAGGTGTCCATTAAGAGTACATCAATTATCGGCACCGATATTAAGCCTTTTTATGATATGTCAGCCAACTGTGAGGTGTCCATTAAGAGTTAATCAATTATCGGCACCAATATTAAGCATTTTTATGGTTATTGGTCATTTTCAAACTTATTTGCTAATTTTATTATAATTTTATTTTGTAAATCACTAGGAAATGCTGCTTCAACTGAAAGCACTGCGAGTTAAAGTCGCTTATAATGTGTAAAAAAAAAGCAAACATCTTACCAAAATTGAGAAGCATATATGAACCTCTTGTCCAATATAAGATAACATTTATTAATAAATTTTACTTCAGTATAACTTCATAATGTTATAGACGTTTTAAAATATTATAAAATTGTTAAACAAATTGAACAAAAAAATGGTTTTAAAAGGCTACGTGATAAAAGCCAATTGAATAACCACTGTATTATGAATTTACTTTATTATAATAAAAATCCCTGATAAGGTATACAGTCACTCCAGTTTCCCCACAGTCCAAACACATGCATTAAAATAGAGTTGGATAAACTGAGGGATGGGTATGCGCTGTGTAAAACATGTACCAAGGTAATAGGTAGTTAATTCCGCTGTGGCAACTCCTGATAACCCGGGAACAAGCAGAAGGAAAGTGAGAGAGTGAGTTGTGGTTAAGAACAGATTTTGCCAGAGCCCTAGTTTTTCTTAATTAACATTTTACACCAGGCATAGTTCAAAATATCTGTTACTGGTGCATTAGATCTGTGTCAGCACTGACCTTGAAAAACACCTGTCGATTGACCCCTAGTGTTCAATTTATTTTATCTACATTACAGAGGATCTTACAATGTTGGCAGCTCGGACATGCATTTCAAAATGGTCCTGTTCAGCTTGCGTCGCCCTGGAAACCTGAGTCTCATCTTCCACCTGATCAAAGAAATGACAATATGGAATTAATATAACAGATAGATGATATCAGTGTGAACATGTTTCATATGCGAACCAACATACCTTAGCAGTTTTAATTATTTCCGTAAAATTGTCTAGAATTGACCTGATGTCATCTTTGAGTCTCTTGTTGTAGTTCTGCAAAAGAGTCTCTTTGCTTTGCGGGAGGACTCTCGGTGTGGACATCTCAGCTCTTGTGTAACTCTTTACTCAATGCTATAGAATCACAAATAAGACTTTACTGTTAGAACTGCAGCTACATGTCACAATAGGTGTTTCTTTATACATACAATGTTTAGGAATTGTTTCATTTATAAAAAGGTTTTTATGGTTGCAAAGGTGTACTAATTTTTAAATTTCGTTTAATGCAGGTAATTTCATGTTTTATACTGTTTGTTAAACTGATCCAGGATTTCTGCCTGATTTCACCAAGTTACATTTAAGACTTTTAAGACCATTATGAATGAAATTTTAGACTTATACAGGGCTAAATACTAAGAATTTTTTTTCCGAATATCCCAGTTGGAAAAGATTTTCAGTTGCTCTTTCAAAAAAGATTAACATTTATTACATTTAATAATACAAACATAATAATTATTTAGTTTAAATATTTTTATATTGATTTTCAAATATATTCATTCACAAACCCTATAACCCTAACCAAGAACAGAACAAAACATAGCTGTCAGTTACTTCAGTTTACAATAAAAACAATTACACAATAAAATATATAGGTCAGGTCAGTATCCTCAGCAGTAAATAAATGGAGAACTTTTAAGCAAATGTAACTGTAAGGAAAGTAATTAAATGCTATTTTTAAAAGTTAAAAGTTGTATTGAGATGGATTGGTGGTGATTGTATGGGTGTTAATGGCCAGACTGGTTAGTTATGAACAAAGGAAAATTAAGACCTGTTAAAAAATATTTAAGACCTACAACACATGTCAGTAGATTTCAGACTTTTTAAAGCCTAAAATTTAGCTTTTGAGATTTAAGACATTTTAAGACCCTACGGACACCCTGTGATTGTTAGTTTCGATTCAATTAAATAACAGAAATCATACTATAGGATGACACGGTAGCTCAGTGGGTAGCACTGTCGCCTCACAGCAAGAAGTTTGCTGGTTCGAGTCTCGGTTGGGTCAGTTGACATTTGTGTGGAGTTTGCATGGTCTCCTCATGTTGGCGTGGGTTTTTCCTTGAAAATAATATTCAAGATACCAATTATAAACCATTGATCAAAATTTGTTCTATAGTAATACATCTTCTCACGCAGTTACATACCGTTAACGTTGATTCGCGATCTACAGCTTTACACCCCGTTCTTATCTGCATGCGTAATTATATTGAACTGAGTAATTCTGCTGGCAACTTTGAAACTAGAATGTATCATTTGAGAAACATCTTTCAAATAAAATAAAACACAAAACAAAACATTTTCTTCTGCGTACGTTAAATGTAGCTTGTCTAGGACACTGAAACTAGTTAAACAGCAATTCTCGCAAGCGTAATTAATTAGCTAAGAACTGATTAGATACTGGTGCTCAAACTTATAAAAAGGTTACTCACAGCTGCAGGCATTATTTTATAACCTTTCTTCAAGTAAACGCGAGCCTCCCGCTTTTGTTCTGTCGCGTACAGATGATGTCACTACCCAAATGTCGCGGTAGTTATATTTCCCACAATCCCTTTCTTCTTCCTTTCCGTCTGAACCAACATGGTGAGTGTTTGATGGTTTTGACTGAGAAGCCTTCTCTTTTAAAAATCCTTAAGCATCCTGACTTATAGCGTGTTGCAGCATTAATATGATATCAGCTATGAGAAATAAAGACCCAACACCTGCACCCTGAACGAGAATTGTGATCTTATCAAGTAATTAGAAGAAGAATTTTGACAACTCTTCTGCTAGCCGTAGTGTCGGCTTACTCTCAGCACTAGCGCCTCGAAATCCGACGCCTTCAGTCTGAAAAGTAACTTGTTTTTATACTTCAGTTTATCATCAAGTTGCTGTGTATATTTTGAAGTATTCTGCTGTTACGGGTAAATCAAACATGCAGTAGCGCGAATGCTAACTTGCTAGCGGGATTTTTTTTTTTATAGGCCAAAATGAATTAGCTCGGCCTTCAGCTGTTTTATAAACACGTGAGAGAGTCAGTGTATTATATGGATACAGAATAACCTGCTAGTTTATCTATGTAGAAAAGTTTCAGAGATGATATTCGTTTTGTCAACGCTCACGTTTGATTCTTGAGTAAAACAGTTCCACCTTTTCGGCATCAAGTAGTCTGCCACAACTTGAACTACTGAACACAAAGAATGGGGTTTAGCTTTGCAGTGATGTCTTGCACCTCTTTTGTCTGGCTTGTAGACTCTTGACAAGTTTTGTAATCTGCTGAACTTACTGCTCACTGTGGACAATGAAGTGCTTTCAAGTAATACTTTGCATCTCTCCACAGCCCAAGGGAAAAAAGGGTAAGGGGAAGAAGGTGGCACCAGCCCCTTCAGTGGCCAAGAAACATGAGGTCAAGAAAGTTGTGAACCCCCTGTTTGAGAAGAGGCCCAAGAACTTTGGCATTGGTGAGTCCTTGCAGTTGTCTGAAGTGTAGCTGTCTGAGTGCAGATGATGTAATGAATATTTGCTATCTTAACAGCAATGCAGACAATCTCCCACCAAGATCGCTGATGCACATGTTGAGTTTGAAAACCTGTTAGCTGATCCTAATACAGTTTGAAAATGAAAATCTTGCATTTTAATGTCCAGGTCAGGACATCCAGCCGAAGCGGGATCTGACCCGATTCGTGAAATGGCCACGTTATGTCCGGCTGCAGCGTCAGCGAGCAATCCTGTACAAGCGACTGAAGGTCCCCCCTGCGATCAACCAGTTCACCCAGGCTCTGGACCGCCAGACCGGTGAGTCTGATTGTGTACTTAAGCTGGATATTTTTACTGACAAAAAAAAAAAACTCCTGTAAGAGGTGATTCACCCAAAAATAAATTATATTTTACGCAATCTTCATTTGAAACCTGCATTTTTCTTGTTAACCAAGATGGTATGTTGTGATGCTAGTAACTGGCACCTATTTACTTCCATTTAATTTTATTTCTTATTACTTAAACTGTAGTTGTATTAATGTGGAAAATAAATAACCACAGTTATTTTAAATCAGAATTTTTACTAACATATGGAAAATGTATATTGAGTGTTAAAATAATGAATTTAGCATTATGGGGCTTGTTTAAAATGTAATTGCATAAATATTCTTGACCAGGTTTTTTAGTATAAACATTGCATGTTGGCACTGGGTCTTCTGTGGCATATGGTATTAATAGACAGTCTTGCCAAGTAAATTGACTTGTTGGGGGAAATAATGTAAAGCCATATTAAACACTGATGCATAAAACATTTTTTCACGATGACCAACAGAAGGAAATGCTTAAACTGACACTAATGCTTTAATGTAATAGCACTTTATGCAAAGATGTGAAGAGTAGAGTAGTAGGGAACAATCCATTGTTAGATTTCATTAGATTTTATTTTTTTATAATCGATAACCAATTTTGTGTAGGAACTATTGGTGCATGTTAACTGGTATAAATGTAGTTTAAATTGTCAGTATTGAGTGGCCTCCTAAATGGCGTTTTATATTTATTTATTTATTTTTACACTTATTGATGTGCAGATGATGTGAAGAATATTTGCTATCTGAGTAGTAAATGCGGACAGTTTCCACCAAGATCACTGATGCACTTTTTTTTTTGTGAGATCTCTACTTTAAAATCAACTTAAATTGTATTGTGAGCTTGTTTTCTTGGAGGTCCTTCTGGCATTTATGCTGGATTTATAATTGCGGAAATGCTAATGGATTTTATTTTATTTATTTTTTAACACTTTGAATTATTTTTTCTGTAGCTACCCAGCTGTTCAAGCTGGCTCACAAGTACAGGCCTGAGACCAAGCATGAGAAGAAACAGAGACTGTTGGCTCGTGCTGAGCAGAAGGCTGCTGGAAAGGGAGATACACCCACTAAAAGACCACCAGTCCTGCGCGCAGGTGGCTTTTTTTTTTTAATTAATTTTTATTTTATTTATTTTTTAAAGATTGTTTAAACAATATAAAGTTGTAAGATTTTAAAATTTTCATTTCTTTTCTTTCTCAGGTGTGAACACTGTGACCACGCTTGTGGAGAGCAAGAAAGCACAACTGGTCGTTATTGCTCATGATGTGGATCCCATTGAGGTGAGGATCTCAATTTCTACCAAATAAAGTTCTGTTTTAAAGTAGTGGTTGTCTGCAATGATGTCTTGAATTTCTTCACCTGAATTCAAACTGAAGATCAAAATACGAGCTTTTTAACCCTGAGCAACAACCACTCCTGCATCTCAGTAGCTTTTTGTTTCTGGTTTGTAATTTTATAATAGGGCTGAAATCGGGGAATGTTAATTTTTTTTATTTCCTTCTTTTATAGCTGGTGGTGTTCTTGCCTGCTCTGTGCCGTAAAATGGGTGTCCCATACTGCATCGTCAAGGGCAAGGCCAGACTGGGCAGACTGGTGCACAGAAAAACCTGCACCTCCATCGCCTTCACACAGACCAATCCGTGAGTAAAACACAAACACTCAGTTAACTTTCCTTTGCTGCACATCCTACAGCTATGATGTCTGAATTTCTTCACCTGAACAACCATGTGGTTTAAATGAGCTTTTTAACCCTGAGCTAAATGGTTTGCATCTAATCATACATTTGGTGGTTTTTGAATAAGTTTTTGTTGGTTAATTTAATTTTTTTCCCCATCTTCAGCGAAGACAAAGCAGCTCTTGCTAAACTGGTGGAGGCCATCAAGACCAACTACAATGACAGATATGAGGAGGTCAGTTTATTACTCGATTTAATAACTGGATCTGGTGCAACACAGACCATCAATTTTTCTATTGTACTTTTTCCTTGAATAACATGACTGCTATCTGCTAATTTTATTTTAATGCTCTCTTCAGATCCGTCGTCACTGGGGAGGAAATGTCCTGGGTCCCAAGTCAACTGCTCGTATTGCTAAACTCGAGAAGGCAAAGGCCAAGGAGCTGGCCACTAAACTGGGTTGAGCTGTCTTGTTTAATAAATATAAAAAATGTTCACAAAAGCGTCAGGCGTCTGATTGGTTCTTTTTTGTTTAGTTTAAACACCATTTTCTTCTTTAATAATGATTTGGAGACGTACAGGTAAAAATTCCAAAACATGAAACCATATGAAAATTAGCTATTGCGTTCAACACCACTTTCTTAGTGTTCATTATTCATCAAACCCCTCATTGAGTTAAATATTAAGCAGCAATTTATTTTTATTCAATTGTAATGTTATTTTAACTCTTAACGGATATTGATTTTGTACTATGCCATACAATCATGGGGCATGTATTCTAATTAATGCTATTGCATTGCTGTGATTTAAGATTCTAATTACTTTAAAAAATGTCATTGAATTTAAATTTAGCTAGATTGCCTTAATTTTACACGAGCATTGCTGTAATTGTCAGAAAAAGAATACACTTTTACCAACAGTGTTAAGTTTAACATAAAATAGTTTTTATTTTACAGCATTCAAAAAGGGCAAAATCCTGAATATTTTTCATAAAGCAATACGCTTGATGAATTTTGCATACCACATGTAGGAAGTAGCAGCACACAGTCCATACCTGGGAGAAAAACAAAAACAGTATGTTATCTTTAGGATTAAAGCAATTTTTTGAGAGCAAGGGTATATATAAATAAAATAGACTTAATAAGAAGTAACATTTTCTATAAGAAAATGGGTTAGATTGAGTTTAACAAACCATGTGATGACGTATTGCAGGTGTTCATTCCTCAAGGTCACTCTTGTCTGCCCTCCTATTGGCCCACCAGGTACTGTGCTATCTAAATAAAAAATAATAATAAAAAAAGATTTTTAATATTTTAAAACATTTGATGTGATCACTGGTAAAACAAGTTTAGAGTTTGTTCTAAATATTCTTGAAAAGTCAGGATATTGGGAAAAGCACTTAACCAAGCACAGCATCAATGAAGATCTCTTCGGCACCAGTGACCTTAGCCATGGCCTCCAGGTCACGATAGTGCCATCTGTTTGCCTCCACATTGTTTTCAGGGACAAATGGTTTCCGTTGTTCAGTTAAACGCACAACACCAACAAGATCCACATCCTCAATCACCTTTTATAAAATATAAACTCAACCAATAAGAGCATTAAAAAGTCAAGAATTAAGGGTATACACTGCATGTGAAGTGTCCATATGTCACCAGTTGATAGATTTCATTAGTAAATACAAAATTCATGTTTTTGTTTTTTTTGTTTTTTTTAAATGTTACATCTGACTGCTAATTTGCATAACCTTGTGTGTATATAAGCCAGTTTGGACTAACAAAGAAAAAAAATTAATTGGCAATATTTACGCCTAGATTTGATCTAAAAATAAATTAAGAAAAGCACTATATTACCTGTCCTTTCGTCCTGGTTTCTGGTTTGATCTTGTTTTTGGGTACATAACCTCTGTTCACCAAGATAGTGATCCTAAAAATGTGCTGCAGTGAGTTGCAAATCAAGTATATGCATAATCCAAGTAAAATTCTAATAGTGTGTGTTTGTACCCCAGATCAGTGCAGAAAAAGGGTGTAATAACATTTGCTCCACTTTCACCACTGGAGGATATCCTCCCTGCCTCTCGAGCCTCTCTCTCAGGGTCCACAGGGGAACGGGGCAAAATATACAGCTCCTTAGAGTGATCAAAATGTCCACGGACCTTCACACGCCTGTACTCCAGCTGCTTGATTTCCATAGTACTGCCTCACACATACATAACATTGTTACTTCATTATAACATCAAATCATTATAAGTTTGTGTATTACCTCCACATGGAGGAACGGAAGGCACAGAGACTCACTCTACAGGCAGTGGGATTGGCACTGAAGTCGTCAGACTCTGAAGTTCACTGATCAGCTCCAACTTCCACTTTCTACGTTTCACCTATAATGTCAAATAGGGCTTTTCAGAAACTGCTAAAGGACTATGTGCACACCATTGAAAATCCTGAGATAAAATAAACTGCATGTACCCCATTGCTTCTTTAGTTATGGGTTTATAAGATAAACACTACACTTGTGTGTGTCTGTACCTGCCATGTTCCAAGACAAAAGGTGGTGACGGGTATCAACAAGAGAAACCACTTCAGAAAGGTGTCTTCTCCTTTCTTTGTTCCTTCGACAGTGGAAGTTGATTGTTGACTAAACCTGGCCAGGTTATCTAAAATGAAACACAATTTTCAAGTAATAATAATAATAATCACACCAGACTATGGGAAATCTTCTCAGTGCCTGAAAGAAAGACATTTTACTTCTACATCTAGCACCTTCCATTCAATTGTTTGGAGACAGTAAGATAATTATTAATCCTCAGCAAGGCTATTTAAAACTGAACAAAAGTGACATTAAAGATGCTGTCCTTCCAAAGTTTCCACAAACATTTTAAACTGCAATATATTTCTATATTTGAAGTGTTTCATACATGTTTTTTAATCATAATACTTATAAAATAGTTAGAAATGTTCACTCTGAAAGGATCAGAAATAGTTTTTTCAAAAGTTTTAAAAAAGTGGAAACCAATAAACATTTACTGTCATTTAAACATTTAAATGCAGTCTTGGTTGGTGTTTAAAACATAAACACATCCACCTCTACCTTTTGAACGGTAATATAAACAATTTAATCAATAGATTAATAATAAAATCTGAATTACACCGGAGCACTGGAGCATCCTGACGTCTGAATAAACTCTGTCGTGTCACAAACAGAGTCCTCCTTGGTGAAAAGAGAGCCTAAGGACAAAAATATAAACGAATAAACTAAAATGTTACTGTCAAAAAAGAGTTAGAAATAACTTGATAATAATCTTAATTACAGCAAACTACTTTAGGATGTGATAACTTACACTGCATCGAAGAATCTTAAATGTCTGGTTAGAGATCATCAGCATTAATCTAAAACTGCTCATGTTAGCCTAAATAGCTGTAACCCAAACACTGAAATTTTCAAAACAGGTCGACTACATAACATGCCTTCTGCTTTCAGGGGAATGTTTTCAATGTAACCATTTCCGGGGATTCTGAGACATCCTGCACATGCGCAAGATCGTACACACGTGGGGCATGTTTCTGAATTCATATATGGCAGAATTATTAGGGTTTTTATTGTTAGTGCGTATTGTGGTCTGATTCGCTTTGTAATTTCCAATGAGGTAAAATGTTTTTATAACCTTCTTCCCCATCCAACTGATGAATTGCCGCAATCAAATCACTGAAGTTGTGCGGTGAAATTTCTGTTGACATTTTCAAAGACTGTGAGGTAAACCAATCAACATTTATCTACTTCGGTAGTCGACGTGTTTGTTATTGTTATCCAAAAATACTGCATGAATTTCATAGAACTCTGACTGCTAAAATCATAAGTAATGTGTTGCTATCAGATGTTTAGTGGTTCAATGTTGTATGTTTACACATTTATTATATTGTTAACTTTCTGTTATAGGAAACATGGCCAGCCTTGCTGCCAAGTATGATTACCTGGAGAAGTTGACACGTAAAGTGTGTGTGTCTCACAAACAGGAGCCAAAGAAAAGAGCCTATGGTAAAGTTTTGATATTGAATTGACACTTTCATAATGTCATAAAATTTGAAAAGTCTTGTAAGTAACAATCCAGGGTTTTTTCAATCAGGATTTCATTAAGTGCTCTATAGAGAGTTTATATGGCTGGCCGATATGACAAAAATCTCATATAAAAAAATAAGCAGGACCGTAGCCAGCCTGGTGAAAAGGAGGCAGTTATTCACCTCATTTTCTATTTAACTAAGAAGTTAAGTATTTAACGTTATGGTTTTAATACTGCGTTTTAGTGACATTTTAAGCACTATTTATTTAGTGATTCGATTGCCGGGTGGTCATAACCACACTTATTGATGAACCAAAAACATTTCCTAAAGATTAAGAATAAAGGAATATGAAAAAACAAGTATTGATAAGTCTTATTTTTATCATGTATCATTAAGAAAAAAAAGGAACCTTTTAAAGTTTTAAATAAAAAATAAAAAACTGGCTATTAAGGCTAAGTAGGCTATTTTCATTTAATCAAATAACAAACTGGCCAGCACATTTAACTTCAGTCAGAAATTGGCCACGCGAATAATAAAAAACATATAAATCATAATTATTATCATAATGAAGAGCTTCCCGATTTTTGTATCTTGAAAAAAGTACATTTGAAAATTCATGGATGACTACAATAGCCTAATTTGTATTAAACGTTTATACGCTTTAAAATTTGCTTTTGGTGCTTCACACCTTTTTATTGTTTTTTTTCTGTCAAGAATAAGGTGCAAGATTTAGAATAAAAGCTACTTGTAAAATGTTTTCTGTATTAAAAAGCAAAACAGCAGGTCAATTGTGAAAGATGACATTACTTGTGTCGGATTCTTCTCCGTCTTAAAGACTTCTTGGATGAGATATTTTCACAATTTAAGATGGCATACCAGTCAAAGTAGGACAAATGAGCTCATGTATGGGATAAACTCTGGATCTTTGTCAGTGGGGGCTTCAGGACTGATAAGTCATGTCATACCTTGTATCTTTTCTGTAAATTCAATCAGTTACATATATTTAGCACATGGAAAAGACCATAAGCTAAATGATAACATGAATTACTGTCAACACTGTCAACCACCAGATCCTGCTATCTACGCTTGAGTCACTGGGCGTTGCGGGCACTGTTATACAATGGTTTAGATCTTACCTCTCTGACAGGTCATTCAGGGTGTCTTGGAGGGGAGAGGTGTCCAACCTACAGCATCTAAACACTGGGGTACCTCAAGGCTCTGTTCTTGGGCCACTTCTCTTCTCCATCTACACATCATCTCTAGGACCAGTCATTCAGAGACATGGATTCTCCTACCACTGCTATGCTGATGACACCCAGCTATACCTCTCTTTTCATCCTGATGATCCCTCGGTTCCAGCTCGTATCTCAGCCTGCCTGTTGGATATTTCACACTGGATGAAAGATCATCATCTTCAGCTGAACCTCGCAAAAACGGAAATGCTTGTAGTTTCTGCCAACCCGACTCTACACCATAACTTTTCAATCCAGATGGATGGGGCAACCATTACTACATCCAAAATGGTGAAAAGCCTTGGAGTAACGATTGATGACCAACTAAACTTCTCTGACCACATTTCTAGAACTGCTCGATCGTGCAGATTTGCACTCTATAACATCAGAAAGATCCGACCCTTCTTATCTGAACATGCAGCTCAACTCCTTGTTCAAGCTCTTGTTCTCTCCAAACTGGATTACTGCAACTCTCTACTAGCTGGGCTTCCAGCTAACTCTATCAAGCCTCTTCAACTGCTCCAGAATGCAGCAGCACGAGTTGTCTTCAATGAACCTAAACGAGCACATGTCACTCCGCTGCTAGTCCGTTTGCACTGGCTGCCAGTTGCTGCTCGCATCAAATTCAAAACTCTGATGTTTGCCTACAAAGTGACTTCTGGCCTAGCACCTTCTTATCTGCACTCACTTCTGCAGATCTATGTGCCCTCCAGAAACTTGCGTTCTGTGAATGAACGTCGCCTCGTGGTTCCATCCCAAAGAGGGAAAAAATCACTTTCGCGAACGCTCACGCTCAATCTGCCCAGTTGGTGGAATGAACTCCCTAACTGCATCAGAACAGCAGAGTCACTCGCTATTTTCAAGAAACGACTAAAAACTCAACTATTTAGTCTCCACTTCACTTCCTAAGCTGCAATTGCCTCTTTGAATATCACACTAATTGTCCAAAAAAAAAAAAAAAAAAAAAAAAAAAAAAAAAAAACTACTAACACTTCCCTTCTTAGACTTTACAGACCTGAAACTTGCCTTTAGTACTTATTCATTGTTGCTCTTAGTTGTGTAAATTGCTTCCTTGTCCTCATTTGTAAGTCGCTTTGGATAAAAGCGTCTGCTAAATGACTAAATGTAAATGTAAATGTAAATTATTGCTCAATTAATTGGCAAATGTAAACATTGTGCTTTCAATTTCACTACTTTCTTGCCATGCTGTAATTCATGATTCTGCCTGGCATTTAAGATTGTGTTCATACAAATATTAAAAAATATTAGCATATATACTTTGTCAATAAGTCCTAAGGGTTAATAAAGTTTTATGTATTCCCCTTTAGTTCCATTCAGAGGAGGTGGAAATGATGCAAATGAAGCCGCTCCTTCAAAGAAGAAAAAGAAGAACAAGCAAAAGCAAGTTAAAGGAGATAACGCGAATGCAAACAAAAACAAACCTGTGCCTAAGGGCACTCCAGCTACAACACCTCCAGCTCAAAGGAAAACTGTCCAAAACGGGACTTCAGTAACACAAAACAAGCCTGGAGGTAAAAAAGCAATTTGTATAGAGAGAGAGTATTAATTCATTCATGACGCTTTATTGTATTTGAGAGTATTTGTGTTTTAATTGATTCATCCCTGTTAGGTGCAGCATCAAAGGACTTTAATGCTGTTGACATTCTTCGCCAGAGGCTTCACCAGAAGATCGAGGAGTCTCGTGGACAGGTACATGCTACTTTTGAGCCAAAGATTGAAAGTGACTGAAATCACTGTCACTCAGAAGAATATATTATGCTTTTTCACATGCAATACTATTTTTAAAGTATAGTTCTTTGGGTACTAAAAATTGCATATAAAAGCAGTTTTGAGTTCTGCTGCAAAAACAACATTACATTTATTACATTTACATTATTTATATTTACACACATTCACACACACTCATACACTACGGACAATTTAGCCTACCCAATTCACCTGTACCGCATATCTTTGGACTGTGGGGGAAACCCACGCAAAGGCAGGGAGAACATTCAAACTCCACACAGAAACGCCAACTGAGTCGAGGTTTGAACCAGCAACCCAGCGACAATCTTGCTGTGAGGCGACAGCACTACCAACTGCGCCACTGCCTCGCCCCATTTACTTTATTACATTTATTAAAAGTATTATATGAGAAACAAAAAAAACTTTCATTCACACAAACTCACTTTAACAAAGAAAAACTGCTCCAAACTCTTGACAAAATGCAAGTTTTTGAAGTTTTACACGTTTATTGTCAGTTCAATCTGCAAAAGAAATAATGTGTCGTGCACGTGTCATACATGTTCAGTTAATGGTGGACTAAACCGCTGTATGTGTGAAGATGCATAGTGCTGTTTACAAAGTGACACTGCAAATTACCGGCCTGAAATGTGTAATACAGCATCACATCTTGGCACAACTCGAATTGGCATGAATTTTATTGTCTTGGTTTTTGTTTCCATTGCAGTTTAGTAATGTTTTAAATTGTGTGGTATTATAGATGTTTTGTTATAGTTGCGCTGCTTCTACAGTCGCTAAATCAATAATGTTTGCCCCATTCTTATGCTGGATTCACTCCATTTTATCTTGTGTGTGACATTCATTTAAAATACTCCTATGGTGGCTGCTGCTTACTATTATTTAAATCTAACCTGTTTGGATTATCATGTTGATTGTTTACTGATGCAGATAGTGATGTTCTCTTTGGCTAATTATTAGCTGTTTCCATTCACCTATTTTTATGCACATTTTGGATATCCGCATAAAAAAACGGTTAAAGGAGCATATACACCAAGATGCATATACAATTTGGAAATCCGCATAAAAAACATTTGCGCATAACTGAGTAGGTTAAACTTTTTATTCAACAAGAAAAAATGTGCATCAGCTACAATAGAAACACTTTTATTGAACAAATTCCAGTATAGGCACTAAAAAAGATTATGCAATTTGGTTATAAGAGATCATGTGATGATAAAAACGCGTTTGAATAAACAAACCAGCAGGCTGAGCACACTGTAAAACATCTGAAATGTTGCTGAATCAATTTTTGTGCATAAATTTAATTAGCAGTTTTGTATGGAAACATCGCTAATGATGTGCAGTCACATTTTAGTATCGGTATGGCTGGCCTGTAAAACCAACCCAGGAGGTACTAAAAATATCCAGTATTAAGCAGCACTGTACTCCAAATAAGTGGCATTTGTAAACCAGGGTTATTTTTACAGAACTGTATCCTTTTTAAAAACACAAATGATAAGTACTTGTTCTCTTAAAAACTGCATTAAATCCCTTCTTTATATTTCAAGCCAATCATTTTAAAGTCAATTATATGAATGTTTTTCCAGGGCACGCCGAAAGATCCCTCCTCTGATGAGGTCAAGATGAAACGGGAGAAAAGAAAACAAGAAAGGGAAAGGCGGAAGAGGAAAAGAAAGGAGTTTCGATTGAAAAAGTTAGCAGATGCTGCAGGTTTGCAGCCAGTAGATGTCAAAGAAATAAAGACAGAACCAGAAGAAGACTCTACTGCTACATCGAGCGTGCCTGCCAAAAAGGAGCAGAGCTTTATAGTCTTCAACAAGATGGAGGTTGGAGAAGATTATGTAGACAAAGGAACTAAAATGATGGAGAAGAAGAAAAGGAAGGTGAAAGGAACGCTGACTCCCCTCACTGGCAAGAACTACAAGCAGCTTTTAACACGCATCGAGGCGAGGAAAGCTCACCTGGAGCAGCTTAGGGAGAAGGATGAAGGCAAAGCAAAAAAAGAGGAGGAGAAGATGAAGTGGACCAATGTTCTCTACAAAGCTGAAGGCATGAAGATCAAAGACAATGAGAAACTACTGCACGCGTCACTCAAGAAGAAAGAAAAAATGAAAGCTCAGAGAAAGAAGAAGTGGGCAATGAGGAGTGAGCAAGTCGTGGAGAAAATGCAGAAGAGACAGGACAAGCGCAAACGAAATATTAAAAGACGCGCTGATGCCAAGATTGAGAAGCGCAAACAGAAGGCTAGGAAAAAGGGTCGTGTGCTGCCTGGGGATGTCAAGAAGGCTGGCTTATAGACAGAAATGTATGAGGAAAAAAAGTTTGTCTTGTGTTTAAGATAAAAAAAACATGAAATTTGTATTATATATAAATGACTTTTTGTGTTGTCACTTTTAAGATGACAGCTTTATAAAGAGCATTTTTATGTCCACAGTTTGTGTTTTCATTATTTATTTAAGGTAATAGACATTTAACGAGATTATCACAATAGGTGCCTTTTCTCCATAATGACATATTAGGGCGAATGCAAATTATATGTATAGGATATTGGCCCCGCCCATAGCGGAAGTGGTTTTACAGACTGGCATCCGACTGGAGGAGGAGCTCTCGCACATTCATTGGCTCAGACTGGGGGAAACACTAGAGAAGTAAATATGAAGGCTTTAACAGCTGAGGAAAATAAATGAACGAGGTTTCCCTGCTAAACAGAAAGTTTCCTTCGGTAGGTTATAGATTACAGGAGGAAATTGGCATGTACCACAGTATCGTTAGCTTGTTTTGTCTGTTGAATGTCTGAAACCCAAGGACAGCACTTCTGTCATGTCACTGAATTATTGACTGCACGACATTTAACGTTAAAGGTTGACAGTTTAAGCGCTGGATATGCGATTGTAATGTCTTACTAACTAATGCGTTACTGATTTAGTTACTGCTTTAGCAGAAAACCTGCTGTAAAGTGTCTTGAAACACTGTAATGTGGAGGAGAGTGGCGGTGTATGGACCTTCGCTCTCAGTCAGATTAGCAATCGCAGGTTTTCATGAAAAGGTAGGAAGCAGTTCACTCCAGCTGCACTGTTGTATGCATTATCATGGTTCTGTGGCGTAATTTGCAGTCATTTTTTGATATCTAATGCTTTTTTGTTTGATTACGCAGGGCATCATGTCTCGTAGGTTGCACGCGAGAAGACTTGAAGGAATTGACAAAAATATATGGTAATAAAGTTTCATATCCTGTTAATAATGGTGTATCGACTACAGCCATTTAGTGTAGTATATCCGGGTTATTACACGGACATTAAAACTAGAAAATACATGGAAATACATTAAAATAAAACTCATAGTATACAATATTCAATTCATAGTATTTAAATTTCGTTAATAATAGATCATTACAACGCAGAAAACAAAAACGCAAATTAGCATAAGATTATTATGTTCTATAACAGTGTTTCTCAACCACGTTCCTGGAGGACCACCAGCTCTGCACATTTTCCATGTCTTCCTAACCAAACACGCATGATTCAGATCATCAGCTCATTAGAAGAGACTGAAATATAGACAAGTCAGACAAAAGAGACGTCCAAGACATGCAGTGCTGGTGGTTCCGGGAACGTGGTTGAGAAACACTGTTCTATACTATGATATAGTACATACAGTAAAGAACAGTGTTTGTGTGTGTGCACAAAAATAACAATAGCCCTGCATATTAGGGCTGCACAATATTGTAAAAATCTAATATTTTATTTTTCTGTGATTAAATATTGCAACTTGAATACAGTTTCACCAGATGATGTGATTAGCTTTATTTCACAGCAGTATTCAGGTACAAAAATTAAATTATCACAATCCAAAAAATACTTTTCGTACTTTGTCTCGTTTCGACTTCAAATATCTAAATGTTCTTAGATTTAGTGAAAACATTTTTACCTAGTTTTTCCTTAAAACATGCTAAATTATCCACCAATGGGATAAGTGAAATAATCGTGTTTTTGCATTGAAATGTAGATATTTGGACTCGAAATGAGGAAACATAATTTTCTGTGCCCAAAAGTTCTAAACTCTTGAAATGCAAAGTCACAGTTCTTAAAAACACAAAATTATAAACCTTCACTCTTTTATGGCTAAACTTACCAGTGACTCTACAAACCAAATGCGTCTGTAGCTCATACTCAACTATTTTACTTCAATACAATTAATTGTGTGGCCCTCATTCCTATATAAAAATCAATTGTGTCTTTTAAGTGGTGCTCAAGATGGCGCCAATAAGCTATTCTTGTTTTGCACAGAGAACTGTAATAATGTAATATTACTCTGATTGATAACAGTAAAGACTGAAGTTTAAAGTTAACCTGCACATTATTGTTCCTTATCGTGAATATTTTGTGATGTTTATGCATGTCTTCGGCAGGGTGGAGTTCACTCAGCTGGCTGCTGACTATAAGGCTGTGAACTTGGGCCAAGGCTTCCCTGATTTCTCTCCTCCCAGTTTCATTCAGGAGGCCTTCTGCAATGCACTGACTGGAGGTTTCCGCATGCACCAGTACACGCGTGCATTTGTAAGAGATGTTTTTCAATTCACAATGATTCATCAACCACTACGATATTAGTAAAGTTTTAAATAACATTGCAACTTGGGCTCATACAGGGCCACCCAAACCTAGTGAAGATCCTGGCCAAGTTCTTCAGTAGGATTGTTGGTCGGGAAATAGATCCAATGGAGGATATCTTAGTTTCTGTTGGAGCATATCAAGCACTTTTCTGCACCTTCCAGGCTCTCGTTGATGAGGGCGATGAGGTACCATTAGTATTATCAGTATAGTATTATAATGTAAGAGTGGTATCAGAATAGCCCATTTTCCCCATTTTTGTGCAGGTGATTATTGTGGAGCCATTCTTTGACTGCTATCAGCCAATGGTTATGATGGCAGGTGGAATGCCTGTGTATGTGCCTCTTAAACCTGTACGTTCAAATATCACATGATCTGTTTGCTTAATCTGAGATTAAAATGTTTATTTTGAATAATGCTTTGCTGTGTGTCGACAGAGGGAAGGCCGTGGTCCTGCTCTGACCAGTGCTGACTGGGTTTTGTCTCCTGAAGAGTTGGCCAGTAAATTTACTTCTCGAACCAAAGCCATTGTTATCAACACCCCTAATAATCCTCTTGGCAAGGTGAGTTTGGCACCGACAACTTAAATAAATTTTACATTTTTATTCTTAAATCAAATATTTTTTGATTGGTGAACATTTTGAATACTAATCAATTAAGAAATCAATAATTTTTTTATTTCATACATAGTGATTTTTCATCCTATATATAAAAAAAGAAATAATAAATAACTTTTCAAAGAAATTATATATATATATTTTTGTCAAATAAGTTTTATTGATGAAGACACAGATTCAAGACAAAATGAATTCTGTTTACATATTTTGTCCACAAATAACATGGGTACAGCAAAAAAAAAACACCCACCCACATAACAAGCAAACTTGTTACAAAGACCTGTTTGAACAACAATATGATGACAAAGCAAGTTAAAACATTACAGAAATGATGCATTATTATGAGAGTTTTTTTCAAGGTAACAGATAAAAGGATTCCAAATTTGGTCAAATTAGTCAAGTTTTCTTTTCAAATAGTATCTAATTCGCTCCAAATGTAACATAGAGGCAATTTCTCCAAGCCACAGTTTACATGTAGGGGATTCCTTTTTTATTCCAAAACAGTAGCAGTAGCTTTTTGGAAATTAAATTTTAAAAATGTTACATTTTGACATGTATGTATGATAACACCGAAATGTTAAGTAGTCCTTTGTGTAAAATATTAAATAAAAGCATATTTGTTTCTCGTCATATAGGCGTTGCAGAACTGTTTTTTTTATTACATGTGGTTATTATATACAGTCCATTTGGAAAGTGTTTATAGTGCTTCACTTTTTCCACATTTGTTTATGTTACTGCCTTATTCCAAAATTGGTTAAATTCATTTATTTCCTCTAGATTCTACACACAATACCCCATAATGACAATGTGGAAAAATATTTTTTAAATTGCTGCAAATTTACTACAAATAAAAAGTCTGAAAATTCACATGTACAGAAGTATTCACAGCCTTTGACGTGAAGCTCTAAATTGAGCTCAGGTACATTCTGTTTCCACTGATCATTTTTTTTAGCCACTTAATTGGAGTTCACCTGTGGTGACAGTGCATGTTAAAGCACAAGTCAAGCATAAAGACAAAGGAATTTGATTGTCTCAAAGCACAAGGCTGGGGAAGGTTACAGGAACATTTTTGCTGCTTTGAAAGTTCTAATGAGCACAGTGGCCTCCATCATCTGTAAGTGGAAGATGTTTGGAACTACCAGGACTCCTGCTGGAGCTGGCCGGCCATCTGAGCTGAGTGATCGGGGAGAAGGCCCTTAGCCAGGGAGGTCATCAATAATCCGATGGTCATTCTGTCTGAGCTTCAGCGTTCTTCTATGGAGAGAGGAGAATCTTACAGGAGGACAACCATCTGTGCAGCAATCCATCCATCAGGCCTGTATGGTAGATTGGTCAGACGGAAGCCACTCCCAGCCTGGAATTTGCCAAAAGGACCATAGGAAACAAAACTCTCTTGTCTGATGAGACTAAAATTGAACTTTTTGGAGTGAATGCCAGGCATTACGTTTAGAGAAAACCAGGTACCGCTCATCCCCAGGCTAATACCATCGCTACAGTGAAGCATGGTGGTGGCAGCATCATGCTGTGGGGATGTTTTTCAGCAGCAGAAATTGGAAGACTAGTCAGGATAGAGGAAAAGATGGTTGCAGCAATGTACAGAGACATCCTGAATAAAAACCTGCTTCAGAGCGCTCTTGACCTCAGACTGAGGTGACGGTTCCTCTTCCAGTAGTACAATGACCCAAAGCACACCACCAAAATATCAATAGAGTGGCTTTACAACAACTCGGTGAATGTCCTTGAGTGGTCCAGCCAGAGCCCAGACCTAAATCCTATTGAACATCTCTGGAGAGAGATCTGAAAATGGCTGTACACAGTTGCGTCCCATCCAACCTGATAGAGCTTGAGAGGGCCTGCCAAGAGGAATGGGCAAAAATTCCCAAAAACAGGTGTGTTAAGCTTGTGGCAAATTATTCAAAAAGACTCCAGGCTGTAATTGCTGCCAAAGGTGTATCAACAAAGTATTGAGCAAAGGCTTTGAATGCTTATGTACATATGATTTTTTTTTAGGTTTTTTATTTTTAATAAACTTGTTTTAATTCTTGCTTCATGGTTCCAGTCTTCAGTGTCACCTAATTCCTTAGAAAGTGTTCTAATGTGTGATTTGTAGAAGAAACATTGTTAATAAACCTTTCTAATTAAACTGTCAAAGCCATGATACATTTTCTATAATTAATTTATCATAAAAGGTTCAGCATATCTTTGGTTTTGCTAATCTTTAACTTGCTAAATGCAATTGCAGAATTCCATTTTAAAGCAGTAATTCGCTGTTTACTTACACTCAAGTGGCTTTAAACTTTTATGAAGTTCTTTTGTTATTCAATTGAACACACGGAGGATAATCTAAAGAATGTTGTAAAGCAGCAGCCATTGATATCAAGAGTAGGATCAAAAATACTTTGGAAGTCATTGGCTGCTGCTTTTTAATAGTCTTCAATAACTGTTTTTTTCAGGTTTAAAATACGTGAGAGTAAATAAACAGAATTTAAGTTTTAGGATGAAATATCTCTTTAAAACTTTTTGAATCTAACAGACCTAATATTTATACGCTTATATAATTTTAATCTCTCATTTTAATCACAGAGTTGCAACTGCAATTAAGGTCAAGTATGTCCAGCCTAAGCTTAACCTTCTTCTTTATTTACCCAGGTCTATCAATGGGAGGAACTTCAGGTTATTGCAGACTTATGCATTAAACATGACGTCATTTGCATTAGTGATGAGGTGTACGAGTGGCTCACATATGATGGAGCGAAGCATGTAAAGATCGGTAAAAGCAGAACTCTGCAAGTAACTCCAATGACAGTTTTGTGGACTTTTAAATGAGCAGAACTTTCCTTTTTTCAGCCAGTCTGCCAGGTATGTGGGAACGTACTGTCACCATCGGCAGTGCAGGAAAGACCTTCAGTGCCACAGGATGGAAGGTAAGCTAGTCACAATCAACAGGGTTTGTTTCTTCACTAGTTGTTTTGCCTGTGTTGATCAGATCTCATCTGAATGTAGGTGGGTTGGGCAATAGGATCAGGGCATATCATGAAGCACTTGAAAACCGTCCATCAGAACTCAGTGTATCACTGTGCCACAGCTGCCCAGGTAAAACTGTGCTTATTTGTTTTAAGGGTAATGTTTGTAATGTTTTTATTATTTGCAGTGAACTGACATTATCTCTTATTGATCTTTAGGAAGCCATATCAGTGGGTTTTCAGCGAGAATATGATGTATTTGGGACAGAGGACAGCTATTTTCACCAGTTACCTATCACTCTTCATGAAAAGAGAAAAAGGCTGGCAGATTGTCTGAAGAGCGTTGGTCTGAAACCCATTCTGCCCCAGGGTGGATACTTCATGATTGCAGATATATCCAATATTAGTAAGTGATAACATTGTCAAGCAAAGAATTAAAGGGATAGTTTACCCTAAAATGAGTTTCATAGACATCCATAGTAGGAACAAAAATACTATAGAAGTCAATGACTGTTTTTTCTCACATTCATCAGTAAATCTTCAGCATATCAAATGGGTTTTGGAACAAGTGTAGGATGAGTTAATGATCATTTTTAGGTAAACTATGACTTTAAAGCATGGATGTCTGTTTCTTTAAATATTATATAAATATTAATTTTATATTGAGCTTTCCTAAACTCTGTTTGTTCGAAAAATGTTCTGAGTTAGTTTGTTTGAATTTGATTGTTGTCGTGTACCATGTTTACCTATTAATTGATGTTGCAGCGATTACATATAACATGCATCCATTATAGAACATTGCTACAATGTTTATTTTATGCATTATATTAAATTTGCATTATTTTGAGTTGTGTGATAATATGAGAAATATGAAACATAGAGTGTTTTCTTTTTTTATTTGACTTATAAATATTTTTATGTAATTGATTTTCTTTTAAGATGTTGATCTTAATGACCCTACTACTAAGGAAGAACCATATGACTACAGATTTGTGAAATGGCTCATTAAAGAGAAGGTAAGTGGTTGGGTTCTAAAGTCCACTTGTAACATCTATGAGAAAAACATTTTGTCTAATAAATAATGATAAACAAATATTATTGTCATTCACTTCTGAATAGGGACTGGCCACCATCCCGGTATCTGCTTTCTACAGTCCAGAACACAGAGACCAATTCCAAAAATACATCAGATTCTGCTTTGTTAAGGTATTATCCTCACATAATATGATGCAGAGCATGAAATGATTAAAATAGATATTTTAAAAATGTTTTACATAATTGCTTAATTTTCTGAAGTGTCAGTATTATTATAATATTAACCCCAAATATACAGTATAGATATCTAATGGGCATACTTGGTTCTAGTTTTATGTTTAAATTATTTTTGTATTTTATGTTTTTAGACAATTAGTAACAATAATTATTACAATTCTAAGTCCATTAATTTTAGTTAAACCTTTAGTATTGTTTAGTGCTTTTGTAAACAGTTTTTTTAAATGTTGGTATTATATTTAAGATACATATAATATAATATAATATAATATAATATAATATAATAAAATATAATATAATATAGCCATATCACACAGCCACAGCCATATAACCCTGCAGCCCAAGATCGGTTATTCACTGAAGCTAAGCAGGCTGAGCCTGGTCAGTACCTGGATGGGAGATCACATGGGAAAGCTAGGTTGCAGCTGGAAGTGGTGTCAGAGAGGCCACCAGGGGGCACTCAACTTGTGGTCTGTGTGAGTCCTAAAGCCCCAGTAAATAGTGAAGAGGACACTACACTGTCAGTGGGTGCCATCTTTCGAATGAGACGTTAAATCGAGGTCCTGACTCTCTGTGGTCATTAAAAATCTCATGGCACTATTAAAGAGTAGGGGTGTTACCCAGGTGTCCTTGCCAAAGTCCCTCAATCGGTCCTTAAGATCATGGCCTCTCAATCCTCCTCGTCCTCTAAATTGACTCTCACGGTCTCTCCACTCCCCCAGTAGCTGGTGTGTGGTGAGCGTACTGGCGCCATTGTCCTTTGGCTGCCGTCGCATCATTCAAGTGGATGCTGCACACTGGTGGTGGTGTGGAGAGACCCCCCTCATGATTGTAAAGCACTTTGGGTGTATGGCCATACACAATAAATGCGCTATATAAATGCACATTGTATTACATTACATAATATACAAAATTTAAAGTTGCTATTATAATAACAATCATCATATTTTTATTATGTTAAAATGTAAAAATACTTAATATCTTTACATTTTCTGTCATCATTAATAGGAGGACTCGACCCTGCAAGCAGCAGAGAACATCCTAAAACAGTGGAGTGAAAACAAATGAAAAAATCCTGTCAGATTAAAACTGCACAGACAGTCTGTTTGGCTTATGAATAGTTAGCGAAACGTGTTTGATGATGTTATTGGGCTTAAGGTTGAATATGCTTGCAGGATTAGCAGATGGTGTAAAAACTTTTAGGGGATTTTTGAGCAAAAAAATTAAATCTATGTTCTAAATCCATGAATCATTGCTGCCATGAAAACAATCATTACACAATTTTCTTCCCTAAACAAATAGTATAGGTGGAATTTCTCTCAGTCTTTTAATCATTATTATCCTTTGGTTGTAATGTTCTCGATTTTCTTGTTTGTCTTCAAGTAGCCACATATTTTCTTCCATTTGTTCCGTTCTTGGATTATACTTTAATCTGATTATACTTCATAATGTCTGTTATGACCCTCTGGTTCCAGTCCATGTAAGAAATTACACATTAATATTTTTATATAACACCCTGTATTATGTTCAGCCATTTTTAGTAAAGGTCCTGTAAACTACCTCATACTTTTGCAAGAAAATCAAAACACAAATCTGTACTTTCTCAGTTCTTCAGAAGAAAGCAATTATGAGGCATTGAGTCACACACTGGTTTGTTTTGAAAACGGAACATGCTTTGCCGATTTCAGCATGGGAATAAAACAAATGTGAATGAACTCTCTATGGTGGATTGTCATTTTTGTTGGATGCTGTTAGATAATAAAAAGTAACATCCTTTATTTTGACGTGTCTGCATGTGTTTTCAGGAATATTGGCTAATCAGTTTTTACCACAGAGAAAACATCCCCTAAAAAGTATCCCAAGGAAAAGTGCGGGTTACTTTTTTATGTTTAAAATCCTCTCCATTATTTGTACACACAGCTGTTCAAACTGGGATTGGTAGGATTTTTTGAAAGGTTTTGGAAAGAAATGTCTTCTGCCTGCCAAGGTTGCATTTGTTTGCAAAACTTTATTTAGGACACGTTTAATGAGCAAGCACGACATTGTCTGTTAAACTCATAACTCAATTTGTGAAAATGTAAAAAAAAAAAAAAAAAAAAAAAAGGGCAAAAAGTCATGGCAGCTAATGTTTTAGTTACTTATTTTAATAAATTATTCGAGTTTCAACTATTTTTATACAGAGTTTATTTAATATTTTTAGTCAGTTTGATTGATGCAATTTGAAAATGACTAGAAAAGTCAAAGGTGCAGTAAGTGATTGTTTTCAGAAACTTTTTTTTGTGTGCTGGTTGAAAGTCTCTTCACATTCCTATATAATGATTAAAGTAAATGATCTAAATGTATTTATATGTATTTTTTATATTCTGGCTAAGGCAGAAAACTAAAAAAATGTTTGTCCAATTAAATGTTGTGGGCCGACAATTCCTATAATTCTGATAAGTAGCCCAAACTGTCTGTCAGCATATGTAGATTTGTACATCTGTGCAGCTGTTCAAGCAGATTCGCTGTTCGCGCATGCGCTGCATTCATGTGCACATGAGAGACAAACAGCAATAAAAACAAATGCTGAATCAAAACTTTTTAAAATCCTGAATCAATATTGGAGTTATTTTTGCATGCTGGTGGAAGAATGACACCATGGCAGATATGTTTCTTTTAGAAAGGTATGTTATGTTTAAAACTACGCAAAGCTTTTGTAGATTGTGTTGTTTTATGAATTGGCTACATGCACAGAAGTGTTGTTGAGCCACTGATATCTTCCAGTAAAAGATTGATGTGACTTTTCAATTTCATGAGGGCCATTTACACCATCGATAATGTAGATTTTTATTTAGTTTAACAAAACTTAAGTAAACAGCGTTATTCCTCCTAGCCTGCTAGGTGAAGTTGGTTTTATATTCACTTGGTTCATTTTTGAACAATGACAACCTGTGACGCGCTCCCTATATTGTTTACCATGCTTTTTTCAGTATTCTGTCTAAAATAGCATGCAAGTGTGGCTTAGTAATAAATGTAATTCCTGCACCCCACCAGACAAACACTAAGCATACAGTAGTCGCTTTAGGACAAAGTGCGTGAAAAAGTGAGACCAGTGATCCTTGCATGCATGAAATATTGCAAATATTTGACAAGTTTTGCTCGCTACACAACTGAAAACGTGCTAGATATAATACAGTTTTTTGTTCAGAATTGTAGTATTATAAAGTACTATAAAGGTTTTTATCTGGTGCATGACATGAACTATTGGGTCACTTTCGTCTGTAATGTGCAAGTTCTTCATTTCAGAAGGTGTGGCTTTGGACAGCAGGGAAGGGACTGTAGTTTCAAAGCTAATATGCTAACGATTAGCATTTAGGCCATCAGTGTTCAAACTAGGTCCTGGAAGGCTGGTGTCCTGCAGATTTTAGCTCATCCTTGCAGCTGTGTTGAGGCAAGTTGGTTTCTAGAAAGCCTAGTAAGAGCTTGATTAGCTAGCCCAGTTGTATCTGATTGGGCTTGGAAATTCAATTCAATTCAATTCAGCTTTATTTGTATAGCGCTTTTACAATGTAAATTGTGTCAAAGCAGCTTCACATAAATGGTCATAGTAACTGGAACAGTGTGGTTCAGGTTTTAGTGTTTAAGTTCAGTTCAGTTCAGTTTAGCTCAGTTCAGTGAAGAAAAAAAAAACCTTGAGAGAACCAGACTCAGTTGGGCACGACCATTTTAATTTCTCCGCTGGCCAAAAGTCTTGTGCAGAGCTTCATTCGCCGTGGTTTAGGCTGGAAGATGGCCTCAGGGAAGAAATAAATTTTGCAGGACACCAGTCCTCCAGGACCGAGCTTGGACATGCCAGATTTAAGCTGAGGTCACACAAGAGTTTGTGTGTGCGGAATTCTGTTGTATGGCGCTGCGAAAAGGGGCAAGATTAAACCAAATTATTAGATATTAAAAAAGCGAGCGATTGCTCCATGTTTTAAATTTCTGTCCAGAGAGGTCATGTTTTGATCCTCAATTGGTCTCACGCAGTCAAGTGATGCAATTTCGCAGGTCAGAGTTCACCAAGTTTGAACTTTGCACCGCAGCGAACTGTAAAACTTAAAGCATGACCCTGCCTATCCAGTTTGACGCATTCGCGTGCATATGAATGGAAGTCTATGGAGAGAAAAGTCAAGTGTGACCACAGCTTAAGGCAGATCACCTGCACCTTTTAATTTGGATCAACTTTAGCAACATGTGTGTTTTACGTTTTTTAAATTCTGACCATCAGGCAATCTAGAATTCTCAAGTTATCAAGAGCCTTTTATTAAGTTACTGCAAACTTTTTTTTAGTCAATGGATTCAGCGTTAAAATCAATCTTGAGTTTAATGCAGGCATGTCCAAGCCCATTGACAGAACTTTTAATTGAAGGAACTATGCGCAAAGTTGTCAAGATTTAGTCAAGTTTACAGTTCCAAGTTACAACGGGTTTACTCACTATTGTTAAAGTAAAGTCAACTTGTTGTTTAAAGGTTATATTATCTTTAAGAAAAGCTTTTTGCATTGCATTTGTTTACCAGCTCTTCTGATGTAGACTGCTCATGTCATTTCAAGCATCTGATGCAACCTGACAAATCGTGACTCTTGATCTTTTAAAGTAAAGTTCTCAATCAGACAAGGTTTGTTATATAATGGTTTTGTTTAAAAAATGCATATGTTTGGCGACGTTCTTGATTAGGAGGGAAAAAACCCTAAGGAAGGGGTTTGTTTTGTAAATCTGATATGCGCTTCAGCTTGACTGCTTTAGAAGTACAACTTTGCACGCCATGTTCACGATCTTGTTTATCTAACGAAAGAGAGGTACAGCTGCAGTGAAACAAAAAAAAAAAAGGCTGAACAAGAATCATTTAATTAGTGCAATGTGGTTAAACAACATCTGTATGTGATCATGGCACAACGCAGCACTGTGTCCACTTTATCTGCTTCCTATTATTTCCAGTAAAAAAGGGGGTACTTGTACAGTTGACTCATTTTTTCCAAGGCTGGGCTCACTCAGATCTTATTTCCATCACTGAATTGAATAATCTTTCATTTTACTGATTACATAACTGTATATTTTAAAGTGATTGAAAGGATAATATTACATAGGGACACATTATAAACCTCATAGTTTTATGGCAATGTATGCAATGTAACTAAAATATTTTAAAATGTGTTCATATAAATTAGCTATATTTTAACAATCTAAAATTAACACTGTATATGTTTATATGTTTATATATTTCTGTATGGAAGAGAAGAGATCCAATGTACAGATATGAATTACAGGAAAATAGCCATAAGAAAATATGTTCTGGTTTCCATCCAGTCCAAATTTCCAAGTTATCACTACTTCAACTTGAATAATGACCTCTGCTCTTCTGGTTTCCATCCAGATCAAATGTAAACTCGTATAAACAGTTTAAAGTTTAAAGAAGATTTTTGTGTACATTAGTGTAAATATGATATATGGGGAAATACAGGTGACAATATACAATACGTTTTGCTTTCTAAATATGAACTGTGTGTGCGTCTCAGTGTGTTTATTCAGCACTGGCATAAACGCCAGCATTCCTGTTATCCTGTCTGGGACAAGTTGTTTGGAGAAGGATGACAAATGAATGAATGTTGCACATGAGAAAATCCACAAACTCAGTCCGTTTTCCCAACAGTGACGCAGTAGTTAATGAAAGTGTAAAAACACCCAAGTTACACAATCCGCTCTAACCTCAGAGGAAGGAGAAGACAATTGTTTGGAAAATTGTCAGACCTAAAGGTTTTGAAACCAAAGTTATGTAATTTATTACATAAGCCACACATGTTTTGTAAATTGAAAAAAAAACATCATGTATGTATGTGTATATATATATATATATATATATATATATATATATATATATATATATATATATATATATATATATATATATATATATATATATAATTATAATTATAAACATACACACTACCAATCAAAAGTTTGGGTTCAGTAGGATTTTTAAATGTTTTAAAATGCTGCATTTATTTAATCAAAAATGCAGTAAAATTTGTGAAATGTTATGAGCTCCTTACCCTATCCATAAGAGTGTGCATTGCCACCCTTCGAAGGAAACTCATTTCGGCCGCTTGTATCCGGGATCTTGTCCTTTCGGTCATGATCCAAAGCTCATGACCATAGTTGAGAGTAGTAACGTAGATTGACCGGTAAATAAAGAGCATTGCCTTTTGGCTTAGCTCCTTCTTCACCACAACGGACCGGTACATCGACCGCATTACTGCTGCCGCATCCTTCCCACACTCATGAACAAAACCCCGAGGTACTTAAACTCTTCCACCTGGGGTAAGGACTTTCCTCTAACCTGGAGATGGCAAACCACCTTTTTCCGGTGGAGCACCATGGCCTCGGACTTGGAGGTGCTGATTCTCATCCCAGCCGCATCTCACTTGGCAGCAAACCGCCCCAGTGCATGCTGAAGGTCCATGTCTGATGAAGCCAACAAAACAACATCATCTGCGAATAACAGAGATAAAATCCTGTGTTCCCCAAACTGGACCCCCTCTAGCCCAAGGCTGCGCCTTGAAATTCCGTCCATAAAAATTGCAAATAGAATTGGTGACAAGGGGCAGCCCTGCTGGAGTCCAACATGCACTGGAAACAAATCTGACTTATTGTCGGCAATGCGAACCAGACTCCTACACTGTTCATACAGGGACGAGACGTCCCTCAACAGATCGCCTCTTACCCCATACTCCCTAAGCACCCTCCACAGAATGCCGCGAGGGACATGATTGAATGCCTTTTCCAAGTCCACAATACACATGTGGACTGGTTGAGCATACTCCCATGAACCCTCGAGCACCCTGGTGAGGGTATAGAGCTGGTCCAGTGTACCACGGCCCGGACGAAAACTGCATTGTTCCTTCTGGATCCTAGGTTCAACCATTGGCCGGATTGTCCTCTCCAGTACCCTGGCATAGACTTTCCCCGGGAGGCTGAGGAGTGTGATCCCCCTATAGTTGGAGCACACCCTCCGGTCCCCCTTCTTAAAAATGGGAACCACCACCCCAGTTGCCCAGTCCAAAGGCACTGTCCCCGACTTCCATGCGATGTTGTAAAGATGTGTTAGCCACGACAGGCCCACAACATCCACAGACCTAAGATACAAAGGGTGAATCTCATCAACCCCCGCTGCTTTGCCACAGCGGAGCTTGCAAACTACCTCAGTGATCTCAGCTTGATGGGCGAGTCCACCCCTGCATCCCCAGTTTCTGCTTCCTCGATGAAAGACATGTTGGTGGGGTTAAGGAGATCCTCAAAGAATTCCATCCACCGCCCGACAACATCCCCAGTTGAGGTAAACAGCTCCCCACATCCGCTGTAAACCGCGTCGATGTGGAGATGCTTTCCCCTTCTGAGGCGCCGGTCAGTTTGCCAGAATCTCTTTGGGGCCGACCAATAGTCTTCCTCCATGGTCTCCCTGAACTCTTCCCAGGCCCAAGTTTTTGCTTCCGGAACCGCTCGGGCTGCAGCACGCTTAGCCTGTCGATACCCATCAGCTGTCTCGAGAGTCCTGCAAGCCAACCAAGCCCTGTAGGACTCCTTCTTCTGCTTGACGGCATCCCTTACTTCTGATGTCCACCACCGGGTTTGTGGATTGCCGCCCTGACAGGCACCACAGACAATACGACCACAGCTCCTCACGGCTGCGTTAACGATGGAGTTGGAGAACATGGACCACTCAGTCTCCATGTCTCCAGCCTCCCTCGGGATCTGGTCAAAGCTCTTTCGGAGGTGAGAACTGAAAAATCCCTTTGACTTGGGGTTCAGCAAGACGTTCCCAGAGGACCCTCACAATACGCTTGGGCCTACCAGGTCAATCCAACTTCCCCCCTTGACAGCGGATCCAACTCACCACCAGGTGGTGATCAGTTGACAGCTCTGCCCCTCTCTTTATCCGAGTGTCCAAGACATACGGTCGGAGATTAGATGATAGAACCACAAAGTCGATCATTGACCTCCGCCCTAGGGTGTCCTGGTGCCATGTGCACTGATGGACACCCTTATGCTTGAACATTGAAGTCCCCCATTAGAACAATGGCCCTAACCTGCCTAGTTAACCCTAACCTGCCTAGTTCAAATGTAAATGTAAAAATATTTTACATGAATTCAGTTTGATTTTTTTTTCCTTTTTTTAATATTTTCCAATGATGTTTAACAGAGCAATGAATTTTCACAGTATGTCTGGTAATATTTTTTCTTCTGGAGAAAGTCTTATTTGTTTCATTTCGGCTAGAATAAAAGCAGTTTTTAATTTTTAACAAAAACAACTTAAGGTCAAATTTATTAGCCCCTTGAGCTATATTTTCTTTCGATGGTCTTCAGAACAAACCATCGTTATACAATAACTTGCCTTATAGCCTTAACCTGCCTAGTTAACCTAGTTAAGCCTTTAAATGTCACTTTAAGCTGTATAGAAGTGTCTTGAAAAAAATCAAGGGAAATATTATTTACTGTCATCGTGGCAAAGATAAAATAAATCAGTGATTAGAAATGAGTTATTAAAACTATTATCTTTAGAAATGTGTTGAAAAAAAATCTTCTCTCCTTTAAACAGAAATAGGGCAAATAAATAAACAGGGAGGCTAATAATTCTGACTAATCAAAGTAATGCACACACACAAGCATTTTTCATGTTATAAAAAGTTGTTTTTAGATTTACACCCTTAGAAATGCTGGATTTTTAAACTCAAATTTGGTAAGTACAGACAAATCCAACTTTTGTATTAAAATAAGAATTTAAAATAATGTAAAATTGTAAATCAAAATTTGCACATAAACATGTCTGACAAAACATTTAATTGAAACAAGCCAGCATATATCCAAGCATACTTTCAGAGATTGTTTTTGGGTGAACTCTCCCTTAAACTCCACCCAGAGTTTTTTTTAACATTGCAAAACACACACACACACACACACACACACACACACACACACACACACACAAAACTTGGACCCCTTTATAAATAAGAGCTGACCACTAACAGGCATCACTGCGTCACAACTTGGTGAATTAAGACAACAATGCAGAGCTACCCGCTTAGAGGAAACCCAATGCAGGATGACAAAACCTGCAACGGTCAGCCAGTGGTTGTGTCCATGCCTGCACAAAAATTAGATGATGATATCATTTTTTCCACATTCAATTTTCACTACTGCAACCCTTGTTGTCTTGGGTTTGGAGCCTTTTACAACTCAGTGAAGGTAAGGGATATAATTATTTTTAATCCTGTACTGTAACTGTCCTGCTGTTTTACAAATATATTAAGGTTAAAAACTTATTTGAATTTGTCAGGCCAGAGACCGCAGATTGCTTGGAGACTATGCATCAGCGAGCACGTACGGCACTAGAGCTCGACGTCTGAACATCGCTTCTGTTATTCTTGGCGTCCTCTATGGCATTTTACTGATTGTCATCCTTGTCTATGCTTATCAGCTTAGTCGTTTTAGCCACCAATAACCCTTCAAAGAATGTCTGTTTGTATATCAAAGCATTTACTCTGTTTCCATAAAGCATTTTATATCTGTTTAAAATGTTTGTTAAGGATTATTTAAGTCTTTTTTTTTTATTCCATACAGGCACATTATTTACCTTATTTAGAGATGTGCTTGCATTTCCTTTATTTGTTTTATTGTTTTCTTGTTTATATCACACTCATGGTGTGATCTCAGCAATTGTTTATAGAATGAATTTTTTTTTTTTTTTTATCTATATACTGTATATTTTTTAGTCACACCCTATATAAATATGTGGAGGATGAATAAACACAGAGAACTCTACATTGTGTCTGTCTTATTCTTTGTCTCCTGACCTCAGCACTCCCCTCTCATCTGATCATTGGAAACGATTTGTTTAATTTAGTCATATTTAATCTCTTGCAGTCTTGTTAGATTGTTATGTAGCCTTATTTCAATTAAATTCAATTCAAAAAGAGCTTTATTGGCATGACTTGTATTGTCAAAGCATCGCAGATTACATAAACAATTATTAAAATAATAAAGTGGTTACATAACACATGCACATCATC